AGGGCTCCCAGACTGCAAGAGGGCACAGGCCGGGCTTAGGGACCCCCCCTCCCCCCCGAGTGCACAAATTTTTGTGCACTGGGCCTCTAGTGTGTATATATATATATATATTCATATAAACACACATACACACTACATTCTTGGTACTTGTCCATACCACATGCTTGTATGACTTTATGATGCTGATTTATATGTTCTGAATACAGGAAATATGATAAAGAGTAGATGACCTAAACTTGGAATTCAAAGTTCTGCATTTTATTTTAGATCAGCTGTATGATTCTCAGTTTCTCCAAAAAATAAAAATTAGGTCACTAAAATCCTAAATGTAATTTTTTATTATGTAAAACATTTTTCAAAGTAAAACTTTGTTTTTAAAAAGTTTTATAGTTTCTAAAAATCACTGTATTTAGTTGATGGCAGAAAGTTCTCAATGTGAGGAGGTAGGGGTTATAGTAAAGCTTACATTTGCCTAGTTACTTGTAAGTAGTGTCCAGAGTTAGAAGTTATCTGTTATTATGACAAGAACCCTGAATATTATCCCTTAGTTATCACAAATTTGGACATAACTGACTGGAAATTGGCTCTCACCTTCTTCCCTAAACCAGTTCTCAATTGCTGCCTAGTGATTAGAAACTGGCTTTTCCAGTTCAATGTGTAGTTAGTTGTGAGCTGCAAAAAGGTCACTATCAATGTTTTCGAGAGTTGTGTCCATAAAAGCTGTCTAAAAGTTTGTTTTTCATTGGTTTCCCAATAATACAGTGCTACATGTATGTAGTATTGCACGCCTAGGGAGAAGGGCATAATTTAGGAAAGGCAGTTCCCTTCCCCTGAGAGCAATTCCTGGGGACATTCTCAGCTGTGATCTCTCAGCTCAATAACAATCTCACCAGAGAGAATAAAGATGTTGAAGAAGGATCTGTCAACCTACTGCAGTGTCCAACCAACGTTCTTATGTAGTTGTAATGTCTCTTATCATTTCATTAGATAATTAGAGGTTCAGTATCTGCAATAGTGAAGTTCAGTAATACTGTCAAAGTGTTAGGGCTGTAGATCTGACTGACATCTTAAAATACTATCTTAAATCTGACTCCGTCTTTTTTTGCCTGTTTTTCTCACTGTTTTTTAAAAATACATTTTTATTAATTTCAGAGAGGAAGGGAGAGGGAGAGGGGGAGATAGAAACATCCATGATGAGAGAGAATCATTGATTGGCTGCCTCCTGAATGCCCCCTAATGAGGATCGAGTCCGCAACCTGGGTATGTGCTCATGACCAAATCAAACCCGGGACCCTTCAGTCTGCAGGCTGATGCTCTAGCCACTGAGCAAAACTGGATGGGGCTTTCTCACTGTTTTTACATTGTTTTCTGCTCTTCCCATTTTCTCCTGAAGCCAGTTGATCTTTTTTTTTTTTTTTTTTTTTTTTTTTTTGAGAGAGAGAGAGAGAATAGAATTACAGATTTGTTGTTCTACTTATTTATGCATTTGTTGGTTGTTTCATGTTTGTGCCCTGACCGGGGATAGAACCCACAATCTTGGCATATCAGGATGACACTCTAACCAACTGAGCTACCCAGTCAGGGACATAACATTTTTTTTAATTAAACTTTTTATTTTGAGATCATGTAGGTTCACATGTGGTTCAAAGAAATAATGTATAGACATTCGGTACACCCTTTGCTCATTCCTAAATGATTTCATGAACTGTACAAATTGCACAATAAAAATCACAGGGCTATGGAGTAAAAGTGATTTGCAGCACACGTTAAAAACTTTACCAGTGACATAAAAAAGAGATATAAAACTAATAAAAGTGGTAGCAGTTTTACATATGTTACATGGTCAAGAATAGCATAAATACTGTGATAAATAGGCCTCTTTACCTTGAAAAAGACCTGAAGTTTGCTGATGGAATGGGTGACGAAAAGGTTATAGCTGTGAGTTATTGTGTGATGGTGGAAGGAGGGGTATCTGAAATCAGACAGAAATTTATAACACAGATGCAGAGTGTTTGTCTCTAACCACACAGTGAACTGAGGTCAGTGCTAGATGTTTGGGGAAGGTGCATGTGTGTATTCTGTGTATTTCTACATTGATTGGTGCAGGTAGATGCAGTTTTCTGTATTTAGCCAGTGATTCTCAGAGATGAAACAATGTATAAGAGGACACATAATTTACGTATGTTCAAATTATTTCTTAATATATCTATTGTGTTGGAACAAATTTATATTTTCCAAACAAGCATTATATTGGAATTGATTGTACTTTTTTGTTGTTTCTTATTTTGTTAGTTCAACTTGGTTGGACTCTTTTTCTCTTAGCACTATTTCTGTCTAATTGTTGCACAATTTTTGCCACAGAACTTCTTCAATGTGGCTAGGCTGTAGGCATGCTTTTGAAAACATGGGTCACACTAGCAGCCCCTTCAGAAAGGGAAAAGTTAATTTCCCTTTATTTAATTCTTTTCAGTATTCTTTCCATAGGTTGTGTGCACTCATGACTTTTATTTTGATAACAATATAGAGATCAAGACTTTTCTATACTTTTGTTCTAGCTAAGTCACATTCACAGTGGGGACAACCTTCTTTAAAAGAAAATGTTGCATCAGTTCTTCATCTGAGTGTCATTGAAAATAAAACTTGCAGATGCACACAGGATCTTGAGTAAAAATATTACATGTTTTCTACCCCCTTACTTATTATTTAATATCTAGAGGCTCAGTGCATGAATTCATGCACATTGAAAGGAAATTAATTACAAGAAATATTTTAGAGGCTGGGGAGAGACCACAGGAGGGCTCCAGTCGTGTCCGGCCCATCTCGCCCAATCCTGATTGGCTGGACCCTAGCAGCAAGCTAACCTACTTGTTGGAGCATCTGCCTCCTGGTGGTCAGTGCACATCATAGTGACTGGTCTAGTGGTCGACTGAGTGGTCAACCGATCGGCCGGACACTTAGCATATTAGGCTTTTATATAGATAGATAATATACTGTTACATAAATGTAATATTACTTCTAATGTACTAGAGGCCCAGTGAATGAAATTTGTGCACTTGGGGGGGGGGTCCCTCAACCCTGCCTGTGCCCTCTCACAGTCTGGGAGCCTTTGGGGGATGTCCAACTGATAGCCTAGGCCTGGATGGGGAGAAGGTCTAAGCCAGCAGTCACACATCCTTAGTGCTGCCGCTGTGCTCACCAGCCATAAGCCTGGCTCAGGTCTTCTGGCTCAGGTCTTCCGGTTGTTCCACTGTTAGGTCTATTTGCATAGTAGCCTTTTATTATATAGGATCTTATATATAACTAGAGGCCTGGTGCATGTAATTCATGCACTGCGGAGGGGAACCCTTTAGGGGATGTCTGCCTGCCAGCTTAGACCTGCTCCGTGGAGATCAGGCAGGCAGACATCCCTCTCAGAGTCCGGGACCCCTTGCTCCTTACTGCCTGCTGCTCACTGCTCCTTACCACTCGGATCACTGCACCTTAGCGCTTCCACTTCCATGGAGGCAGGAGAGACTCCCACCACCGCCTCTGTGCTTGCCAGCCATGAGCCCGGCTTCTGGCTGAGCAGCGCTCCTCCTGTGGAAGTGCACTGACCACCAGGGGGCAGTTCCTGCATTGAGTGTCTGCCCCCTGGTGGCCAGTGCGCATCATAGTGACCAGTTGTTCTGGTTGTTTGCTCTAATGGTTGCTTAGGCTTTTACTACATAGATTTATACCATAATAGCTGCCACTTATTAAATGTTTAGCATATGCCAGTGTTTTGTGTGAAGCCATGTATAATCTCTATATATAAAACCCTAATTGACCGGTCAACCAATCGACTGGTCGACCGATTGACCAGTTGTTATGACACACACTGACCACCAGGGGGAAGATGCTCAATGCCAGAGCTGCCCTCTGGTGGTCAGTGCACTCCCACAGTAGGAGTGCCACTCAGCTGACCGATAGGTGCCAGACACTGGGCTCACAGCTGGCGAGTGCAGCTGCAGCGATGCAAGCCTCTCCCACCTCTGCAGCAGCCCTATCGAGCTACTACATCCCTCTGGGGCAGTGGTCGGCAAACTCATTAGTCAACAGAGCCAAATATCAACAGTACAACAATTGAAATTTCTTTTGAGAGCCAAATTTTTTAAACTTAAACTATATAGGTAGGTACATTGTTATTAACTTAATTAGGGTACTCCTAAGGCTTAGGAAGAGCCACACTCAAGGGGCCAAAGAGCCGCATGTGGCTCACGAGCCGCAGTTTGCTGACCACGGCTCTGGGGGATGTAGGACTGCCAGTTTCAGCTGATCCCCACAGGCCAGGGCCTCTAGTAAATATATAATACCTTTCAGTTCCAATGCCTCTGTTAACCTGTTTGAAAATCACTGATTTACCTTTATATTCTAACTAGGGGCCTGGTGCACAGATTCGTGCACCAGTGGGGTCCCTCGGCCTGGCCTGCACCCTTTTGCAATCTGGGACCGCTTGGGAGATGTAGTAGTGCGTGAAGTGGCAGGCAGCCAGGGAGGAGCCTGATCCCAGGCTGGGCAACGCGCTGCTCTTGCTTATCCTGACCCCACTACACCTGCCACCACCCGTTCAGGCATGCAGGGGGAGTGTCCACAGGAGAGGCTATTGCCTGTCACAGCTGCGCTTGCCACCCATGAGCCTGGCATCTGGCGCCCATATGTCAGCTGAGCAGCACTCCTGCTGTGGGAGTGCACTGACCACCAGGGGGCAGTTCCTGTATTGAGCGTTTGCCCCCTGGTGGTCAGTGTGCATCATAGCTACCAGCTGGTAGTCTAGTCATCCGGTTATCCAATCACTTAAGCTTTTACATCTATATGTGTCAATTAAGAGTTCTTGTCAGAAACTTAGTTTTCCTCTTAAATTAACTCTTTTAGAGTTCTTATTTCTCAGTGTGAAAGCCGTGTCCATTTCATTTCTTTAAGTTTGTGAATTGTAAATTGAAGATGAGAAAATCCTAAGCGCTGTGTCTTTTCTTTTCCTGCAGCGTTTGTCCAATGGTTCTATAGATTCAACTGATGAAACTAGTCAAATAGTCGAACTGCAAGAATTGCTTGAAAAGCAAAACTATGAAATGGTCCAAATGAAAGAACGTTTAGCAGCACTTTCTTCCCGAGTGGGAGAGGTGGAACAAGAAGCAGAGACAGCAAGAAAGGATCTCATTAAAACGGAAGAAATGAATACTAAATATCAAAGGGACATCAGGGAGGTGAGTGATTAATAACGCTTTCAGTCTTTACTTCCTGAATGCTATCTCTGAGATGCTCTTTTTCCATAATATCCCCTGTGGTAATACTCTTTTCATCTCAAAAGACCATAATCTGGGCCTCTAGTAAATATATAATACCTTTCAGTTCCAATGCCTCTGTTAACCTGTGTTAGTTATGAAACTTGTTCAGTAAGGCAAATATTGTTTACTTCATCATCCTTTAAATATGTGTGGAAAGGAATTTTGATATCAAGTCTCAAATATAATTAAAAAATTACAGTTTTTAAAGATTTTTTTAAAACTGTGGAGCTGTTCATTTTAAACCACCCTTGATATGAATATGTATAGTGAATTGTTATGCTCTTAAATATGGGACTACTCAAAAACATTTTAAGATGTCCCCTCTCATTTTTGGATTTGTGTCTATGAATGTAAATGTGTATGCTTGTATGTACTAACTTTACTTTTTCTATACAATTCAGTTCTTGCTAGACTTAACATCATGTTATCTACTCTGTAAAGAGAGTACTGGAAAGTTACTACAAAAGACACAATGATATGGTTTATTTGTAACATTGCCAAATCATCTTACTAGCTAAGGTGAAAAGTTTAGAAGTTTTTTCACTTTCTCACTTTATTCAATTAAAAAGATGATATTTATGGAAATTTTATTTTGTGACTTACCGTTTTCACTTTTACATATTCATTTAAATAATCTATTTTAGACATTTTATATCTTTTGTATATACTAAACTATTTTTATTGAAGTTTAACCTACTCTGTGTAGCCAGTTCTTTTCTTCCCATTTTATCTTCAGTTTATTCTACTCATACTTTTGCCTTCACTGTCCTATCCAAACTGTTCTTACCCGCATTGTTCTTGACCTCCCTGTTGCTGAATCTAGGGACCACTTCTCAGTTCTCTGAAGCACTTGATCCAGTTCTCACTCCCTGGGGCACTTTTTCACTTGGCTAATAACACACTGCACTTGCCCGATTTTCCTCCAGCCTGTTTACTACTCCCATTTCAGCCGCCTTTACTGGCTCAGCTTCCTGCCAAGTCATGGAGTGTCATCCTTTCTCAATCTACCTTTACTCCCCGAGTAAGTTCATGTATTCTCATGGCTCCGAAAACCACCTAGTGACTTGTGACTCCCAATTTATATCTCCAGCTTACCCTTCTCTCCTGATTTTCTGATGCCTGTGTCTGAATGTCCAATGGGTCTCTCAAAATTAGATTTCTCAATACTGTTTTACTGGTATTCCCCTAGGAAGCCAGGCTTAGTCGAGGTCCTACACATCTGAACCGATGGCAACCCTATTATTGTTGCTCAGGCTAAAATCCTTGGAGCTGTCCTTGGCACCTCTCCTATTTATGTTGCAAAGTCCTTGCAGAACCTACAAGCTATAGGTATTGTCTGACCTCTTAGAACTCATCTTTTAATCTTTCATTTTATCCCTATCTGTTCAGTTAAGGGGGCCTCTTAAAGAAGTCAGGCCTATTCTTTTACGTCTTCTTTTCCCTCTGCTTTTGTCTTAAATGTTTTCTCAGTGAAGTGTTCCCTATCCATGCTATTTACACATACACACCCTCCCTCTTCTCTCATTTTTAGTCACACAGCATTACTGCACCTGAAACAATTCATATTTTACTGATTTACTTGTTTACCATATGCCTTTCAACTAGACATAAAAATGTATAAGGGATGTAATTTTTTGTTTTGTCTTGTTTGGCTTACTGCTCCATGTGAATCACTTGAGTAACTATTGAGCATAGAATAGACACTCAAACATCTTTATTGGGACAATGAATATTTATAGATTTTTGATGTCAACATCAAAAGGCATGGATGAGATTAGAATAAGTCCTAAAACAATGTCTATTCTCTCAGAAGATGCATGATCCAGGAAGTGGTAGCTTGTTCTACCACTGCACCAATAAAGATATTGTGCTCTTTATACCCTTATATGAATTAACAGTCTATAGATATGTCTCTTAGCTTAACTCCTTCTCACAACCCAAACTTGGAGAATTTATAAAGTAAATAAATTTAACCTCTCCTCTATATCACTGATAAGGAATACTGAGATTTCTGGCCAATAAATGACCAAGGCAATTTCTTGAGCTTTTGCTCATTCTGTATTTGTTGATTTTCTTAGTCCTGGATATTTAGCTGTTTTCCTTTCATTTAATGCTCATCTATTTTATTCACACTTATTTAACCCAGTGTCACAGGTGGAGCCCAACATCACCAGCTTCCCCTTTCTTACTGCTGATGTAAAATAGTTCCTTGATTCTAAGAGTCTTTGAATGTAGGTGACAAAAAAATTTCAATCACCTGGTGCCAGGTGTTCTTTTATTGGGAAACCCTTCTCTTGTGTAAGCTTTTCTGCCTTTAGATGAATTATTTTAAAATATAACTATTCTTATCAGCTCTATCATTTCTATGTAGTTGTACTTTAGAAGAGTTTCATAAGAAAAGAATGTCTGTCATTATTCACCTTGGAAGGGAAGTTGCAAACACTAATGCTTTCAGAGCCAGACAGACAGTGTAAATGTATGAAGTGCCAGGTGCAGGATAGTAGAAAGTGATAGAGTTAATGAAACCTGGACAAGGAGCCTACACTCTGCCCGACTTCCTGCATGCATCACGTGTGTGTGTGTGTGTGTGTGTGTGTGTGTGTGTGTGTGTGTGTGTGTGTGTGAAAGACACTGTGAAGGTCAAGTAAAATATTATCAGAAAGATTCATGTCACAGGCCACAGGCTCCTGGTTTGCTGCTCTGAATTTCTTGAGGACCAACCAGGAAAACTATTTTAGGTGCATTAGATCTATGCAATAGAGAAGGTACTTGTCATGATCCCACTTTTCTCAGGTGAATAATCTAAGGTTTTAGTGAGATGAAGTGACTTGTCCAAGGCCTATGCACTGACGTCCCCATTCCCTCAGGCCCCAGAACCAGGAAGACATAGGACAAGCCTGACTTCAAAACCTGTGGTTCTGACACTTTGATCAGCTTTCAAAATCAGTGAGATGCAGGCATTACTTCAGTGGTAGAAACTGTCCTAAAAATGCAGCTACAATATAACGGCCCCCTAAATGATCAATCCCAATAAGCATGAAGATACACAAAGCACATACTTATAAAGGTATCATTTATTCACACTCATAGCCCCAGACTTTTTTATTTTCCTGAATAATAATGCATTCTTGGGCTGTGGTCACACAAAATCTACTAGATTGCAAATATTTTAGTAGAAAGAAATTAAGGTGATTTATCTCGCTACCTCTGCTAGCACAGTATGATTTACATATTGAAAAAACAATAAATGGTTATCGAATTAAGAAAAAATTCTATAATAAGAAAAACTAACCATATAATTAAAACTGAAGTGTATTTTGCTTTGCATGTGAGAACAATCAAATATATCTTAAATGAATTATTTTAGTATGCTTCATTAATGTTTACAAATATAGTTTTGTAATTCTCCTTTGTCAAGAAATAAGTCTATCTAAATTTATTTTGATTTGAAGTTTAGTTTTAGTTGCTTAACAAATTGATTGTGACCTACTAGAGTAGGGGGACTGGATCAAGGCATAGCACACATTTGGAAAGCACAGACTGCATTGTCCTTCATGTTGGGAAAGTGTTTTTAAGAGCATCTATTATTGGATATCTTCAGGGGTTTGATCCAAAAGCACAGTCTGAAAGTTCAGCTAAAAACCTATTTTTCCTGCAATGTTTGAAAATACAATGGTCAGAACAAATCAAGAAATCTACTAATATGCGAAAGAGTAGGGAAGTTATCTGTTAAAGCCTTAGTTTTCGAAAGTAAAAAACAGGAAAAAAAGTAAACATAAACAATCTCATAACAGAAGTTTAGTGCTCCACTTTTTAATCAGAGGGCTACTAAGCAGGCATTGAATATAATATCATATTAAATATGTTGATATGCAAAGAGTTAGAATTTTTTGTGAAGTCTTTAAATTGTATTTTATTTTACAAATAAAATCAGCTTATCTTTCCAACTTCTTATAAAAGCTCCTCAAAAGGTTGCTAAGTGATTAAATAAATTTTGTATTTTCTATTATCTGAAATATGGAATTGTATTCTTCACTTTACTAGATTTATGGAGTTATATTTATTTGATATAATAAAATTCAGTTTATAAATAAACTTCAGGTCAAGAGATAATTGAAACTTTCATCTGTTTTTCTCCTTTTTTAGATAGCGTTTTCAGGGATGAAGAAAAGCTTTCTTTTTTAGAAATTCCAAGTGACACATAGGGAAAAGATATTTCTTGAACTTGTAAATTCAAAATTTATTTTTGTCAACACAGCCTACAGCTAAAAATTGAATCTCCCACATGAATCATTGACCCAAAATGTAAAACCAAAGTCACATACCATGATTCCTGCATTTAATGTGTGGCACAGCCATATCAGTTAATTGTAGGCATAATACCAATTAATAATAAAAGTTAGGTATTATTTATTAAGTGTGTTTTCTTCATGAGACACCATGCAAAGTATTTCAACATCACAGCAAACATACTACAACAATGTTATGTGGTAAGTGCCAATATCCCACCCCCCCAAAAAAAGGGAGGTTAAGCAATATTGCAATATTTACCTGATAACAAAGGTAATATGCATCAAAAACTAGGATTTGCAGCAAGTATGTACTACTCTAGGATCTGTGTTCTGAAGAAACATATCTATGCCTTTTACTGAATTTATTGCCATTAAATTTGGTGCAAGTTTTATAGGTGCACTCTAGTTTCAGAATTTTCTCTTTGAGCTAAAACATTAGCAAGATATCCCAAAGTTCTGGATGAAAATGAAATTAACAGGATGCAATATTGTATGTGCTCTGAAGAGATACCCTGCCATCATTGGACTAAAATTATATAAAAATAGTCAAAATTTAAAATAAAAGTTTTGTAAATAGTCACTGTTGTTTGGGATGACTAAAATCTAGGGTTGTGTACCTGTCAAAAAATATAATCTGGATTTGTTTTTGCCAAATTGATGGATTACTTGGATTTTATACATTTGAACTTAATATTCACATAATTAAACAAGCAGTCTTTAATTGAGACTTGAAGGTCAGCAGAACTGAGTTAGGCAAAGAAGTCAACAAAAATGAATTCCAGGTGGAAATGAAATCACAGCGTTTATTAGTTTCCTGAGGCTGTGGTAACAATTACCATAAACTGGGTGGCTTAAAGCAACAGTAATTCATTCTCTCACAGTTTTGGAGGCTATAAGTTCAATATCAGGAGGGCCATATTACCTCTGAAGGCTCTATCTAGAGAAGAATCTTGATTTGCCACTTTGAGCCTGGTGGTTGCTGAGATTCCTTGGTGTTCTTAGCTGGTTATAGTGTAACTACAATCTCTGCCTCCTTCTGAAGACTGCCCTTTTCTCTGGATGTCTCTGCGTCCCCAGATCTCCCTCTTCTTATTAGAACACAAGTCATTGGATTTAAGGCCCACACGAATGCTGTATGACTTCATCTTAATTTGATTACTTCTGCAAAACCTTATTTACAAATAATGTCAAATTCACAGGTCTTGGTGGACATGAATTTAGGGGGGTTAATGAGGGGAACATGATTCATTCCAGTACATAGAGCTAGAGATGTGTCAGGTCATAAAGCTACTTCTTTTCTAGACTTTGTAGCTCAGATTTTACATAAAAGATGGAGTACCATGTGCTCACATTGGCATTTAGAAATGTCTCTTGGTCAGTAGGGTGGAGAATCAGTAAGCAGGAAAAAAAGACCAACAGCAAGTGACAGGTTAGGTTATTAAAGTGAGAATATTATGCTCAGTGAAATAAGCCAATCAGAGAAAGATAAATATCATATGATCTCACTTATATGTGGAATCTAAGGAACAAAAAAACTGATGAACAGAATAGATCCAGAGACATTGGAGCATGTAACACACTGACAAATCTCAGAGGGAAAGGGTGGTGGGGAGGATGATGGGAAGAGGTTAACCAAAGAATTTATATGCATATATTCATAACCCATGGACAGACAATAGTGCAGTGAAGGTTTGGGGAGTGGGCTGGGTGAGAGTGGGGTAGAGGGGGTCAATGGGGAGCAAAAAGGGAGACATCTGTAATACTTTCAACAAAGACACATTCAATTAATTAATTAACTAATTAATTAATTAAAGTGAGAGTTAGGGTGGAGAAATTTTCAAGAATGATCCTAAAATCCTAGGGAGATTGGTGTCATTCCATAGCCAAGTAATACAAGAAGAGCTGATTTGTGGGTAGGCAGGGTGACTAAGGACAACATGAGTTTCATGGTAGATATGTATGTACGCCATTGCACTCTCAGAGAAAGACAGCTTTCGGTTATCCCAAGATATAAGAAGAATTCAGACAGGTAATTTGGGAAAACTCACATGAAATCTTACATTCCTCTCATGAAATGAAATAAATTAATATTTACTTCAATAAAGCAATGGTTTTCATGGCTTAGTCTTTTATTTAAATAACAAGACAATAAGTTACACTGTCTGAGAATCTGATTTGAAATTTTTTATTATTTTAATTGCAGGCCATGGCACAGAAGGAAGATATGGAAGAAAGGATCACAACCCTCGAGAAGCGTTACCTCAGTGCTCAGAGAGAATCTACCTCCATACATGATATGAATGATAAACTAGAAAATGAGTTAGCAAATAAAGAGGCCATCCTCCGGCAGGTTCAGTATCTCTGTGTTGTTTTTGTTCTGGTCCATGTGCGTGTTCTCACCATTCTCACAAAATGTTGAGTAAATTAAATACACTATTTCTTCACAATCAATCATTCTCTAAAATTTAGAATGGTGTGAACTAAACGTGTGGTTTTCAGTAGGTAATTTAGAAATTGTTCTTAATAATAATAATAAAAATAATGACTAAAATTTACTTTGAATCTGAACATGAACCAGAAACTATGCTAAGTAGTTTACATGTATTACCTCACTTAAATCTAACCACCACCTGTGAAGTAAGCACTGTTATTATACCGCCGACAGTAAGGTTCAGCGACATGAACATTTTCTCAAGGTCACACATCTGGTAGTTGCCAGAGTCTGTAATGGAAACTAAAGTCTACTCCACTCCAGAGCAGGAGTGGGCAAACTATAGTCTCTGAGACAAAACTATGGCTCTGCTTTGTAAATAAAGTTTTATTGAAACATAGTCATACCCATTATTTAATCATTATCTATGCTTTTGTGCTACAACTGTAGAATCAAAATGTTAAAACAGAAACTATATGATACACAAAGTCTGAAATATTTACTGTCTGGCCCTTCACAGAAAAATATTTGCCAATCCCATCTTTTGAGCCTAACCATTATAGTACATTACCTCTCCCTCTCCAGATAATACTCTGACTTTCAATATTATGCTAATATGGTACATCAGAAGTGTAAGTACTGACTTGTATTCCATTTGTCCAAGTATATATTCACTGTTAACTTCTCTTCTTTTTGCTGCCATTGGTAAGAGCTTTTCTAAATTTTTTTAATGTGCTCAATTTTATTAAGGAATGTGGATAAGTAATATATCAAAAAAACACGAGGGCAATGATCTTTTTGCATGGTAAGTGTGCAGCTAATTTTAAATCTAGATAATGGCTGAAGTCCAAGCCCCCTAGTGAATGGGGTCTGCTATACTAACTGTAATCCTTTAAGTGTCTCTTTCCCACCCCTGTTTCAGATGGAAGAGAAGAACAGACAGTTACAGGAACGACTTGAGCTTGCGGAGCAGAAGTTGCAGCAGACTATGAGAAAAGCTGAGACCTTACCTGAAGTAGAGGCTGAGCTGGCTCAGAGAATTGCAGCCCTGACAAAGGTACTGCAATATAACACTTGGTCAGCTTAGATGTGCTCACAGAAATGACTGGCAATCAAAATGAACCTGTAAAGATTTTCTCTAGTCTTTATGAAAATTAAGTTCATCTAATATTTATTATATTGGTTTCATTATTAGGTGAATTTTTCAAACTATGTATATCTTATTTATGCTGACATGAATGATTAACATATGACTGTGATGATTCCCTTGCCTACTTAAACATTAACAAAAATAAAATTTTATGTCCTTATATTAATTTTCCATGGCAATATTTTCACATCATAATAATCACAATATAAACACATAATGATATTTAATATGTATATACATGAGACATATTTTAATATGCTAAACATAAATTGGTACAATAAATATAGGAAGTATCATAGCAGTTGATTCATTTCTGACTATAGTAGAAAAGAATTTTTAGAATTTGGAAGTTAGATTTATAGCAGTCTAAGGTCTCCAGCCATTAAGTAGTCAGAGAGTGGATACAATTTCTTCAGAACCAATTAAAATCCATGGTATTATATCCCACATTTGAGTGAAAAATCATATGGTTCTTTACTTTTTCTGACTGACTTATTTCACTTAGCATAATATTCTCAAGTTCTATTCATATTGTTGCAAATGGCAGTATTTTATCCTTTCTTATGGCTGAATAGTATTCCATTGTGTATATGTAACACATCTTCTTTATCCAGTGAATAATGCTTCAATGAACATAGGGGTGCATATACCTTTGCAAATACATATTTTTGAGTTTTTCAGGTATATCTCCAGGAAAGGGATTGCTGGGTTGTGTGGTAGCTCTATTCTTAATTTTTTAAGGAATTGCCATACTACTCTCCATAGTAATTGTACCACTCTAAATTCCCACCAGCAGTGAATGAGGGTTCTCTTCTTTCCACAACCTCTCCAGCACTTGTTCTTGTTTGTCTTATTGATAATGGCCTCTCTAACAGGTGTGAGGTGGTATCTCATTGTAGTTGTGATTTGTCAGAGGGAGGGTGATGGGGGAAGAAGGGAGTTATGGTGACAAGAGAAGATTTGACTTTGGGTGGTGGGCACAGGGTGCAATATCTAGATCTTGTAAAATAGAAACTCATACCTGGGACCTATATGATCATGTCAACCAATGTCACCCCAATGAATTTAACTTAAAAAATATAAATAAAAGATAAATATTAAAAAGTAAAATAAAATAAAATCTATAGTATTCTGAAAAATGTTCAATATTATCTACCAAGTTATAGCCATTAGATTCTGTAATTATCTGCATATTTTAGAATTCTGCAACCATTATAATGTTTAAAAAAAACTACCCTTATCTTTCACTATCAAACTGAGATGACATTGCTTCAGAATATATATATATACATATCACTAAAATAAAAGTCCATATTTTTTACTAAAAGCATGTTTAACTTTCAATATCAATTGAAAATATACACATATTTTAGTGGTTCACACAATCATTACTGTGTGCTAAGTTGTCTCCTCCATTGCAAGTAAGTGGGTAAACTACAAGTTACAAATTCTGTCATTAGGGATTATTCAAAGCAATTGATGTGGCAATATAAGAGTAGGCACACATATTTTATTTCCTGCAAAAGTAAATAATTAAAGAGGAACAGTAAACTGACACCTATTAATTAAAATAGGGAAGTCAATCGGGTAGAAAAAAGGCAAACGTTTGGCAATGAATTGCAGGGTTAGAAAATGCTGGAATAGTTGGTTAACTATAGAGTATTGGAGTAACTAGCTGAACTAAACATTAGGTGATTAGGGTTATGTTACAATCCGGATCCTTCCATAGTCACGTACCATGCCATAAATTCCTCTGGCAATTCCAGAAATGTGTGACTTCTAATATAAAGTTAAGTTTAACATTTAATTTAAATATCTTTTCTAAATTATATCAAAATGTGCAAATATATTAATAGCATTCAATTTTTTCTTGTGAAGATATTTTCAATTACTATATTATGGGTTGAGATATGTACAATTAGTCTTTTTATCTGAGGATCCCAAAAAACTTTTATAAAGAGTTATTTTATTGAATTGAATTATGTTAGTGGCAATTTGGTGGCTAAATAATAAAAAATAACTTTTGTAAAATTTTAGTGTAAAATAATCGTCAATATTATCCTGCATAAAATACAAGAAAGTTTGGAATCTCTTCCAATCAAACACAATTTAAAATTCAACATAAAATTGCCCCAAATTTACCTCTGATAGACTGAAAATAAAACATAATTTAAAAGGCAATACTTTACATATGAAACTTTACATTAAATATTCATGAGAATTCTTAATTTAGAATAGTTTTTAACTTGAAATACGTGTCTCACCTTATTTTGCCTTTCATTTTATTCTCTTGGGCTCTTACTTTGATACATATATTCACTTGTGTACCCAAATAATTTTCTCAGTTTACTCTGACCTCATAATATATTGCTGAAATTTCATTTCTTCTGGACCCTTTTGATTTCTTCTTCTTACAGTAGAGTTTTATTCTTCTTAAAAAGTGTTAAAAATGCTAGAGTTTACTCTGCTTCTCCTTCTCACTGATTTCTCTTCTGGCTGACTCTATATCAGCAACATTTCAGATATACCATTTTCAGATGATTGCTGCATTTAATTCATCATACATCCTCCTCTAGTAGTGAGATTTTTATCAAAACACTCCCTCTGTAACATTTTTATAATATTTGAAGATCATTCTTTCATATTTTTCCCCAAGATTTATGGCCACAACAATCATACTTTTTCTTGCCTTCTGTTCTCGAGACCATTAGGGAACATCTCTAGAATTTGCTTTATTTATTTATTTTTTGAATTTCAATTTGTTTTTATTATCTCACTATTATTGATCATCACAGTCTTTTTCTAGTTCTTAATATTTTCAACTATTCACAAAAATAAAATATTTTTGCCTATTTTAAGCCTAGGTTCCTCTCTCCTATATTTTGAATGGTATTCTTAACAATCCCACAGACATTTTATTTGGCCTATATATTTTTCTACTTTTATTATTAGCTGCCTATTTTTTCCCCCTTCTCTTTGGTTCCCCGCTCTGTAACTTTCGCTTCTTCTCCATTTCCAAATATATCCACACTCTTCCCAAAACTGCTTCTGCCTGTGTGATTTTTTTTTCCTGAATCTTTAGCTCATTTGGAACTGTCCTGTGCCACATTAAAGAGTGAACAGAAGATACATTCTATATCCCATCAAGGAATGTAAAAAATAGCAGATTGTTCTTGTGTGACACTGGTGTTTACAACAATTGCTTAAGCTGCAGTCTTTACAAGGCTAAGGTGAACATAAATCAACAGTAGTTGAAGCTGATCCCAGTGTCTGTTCAGAAATGATGTCTGAATCTATTCTTTGGTAGGGGTATCTTTCTTTCTGTGTGTGTGTGTGTGTGTGTGTGTGTGTGTGTGTGTGTGTGTGTGTAGGAGGTAAACCTCATTTAAGATTTTTAGAAAATCAGAAGTATAACTATGGAGAAACTTAAAATTTTTGGCTTCCAATCTTGTTATTTGTGATGTTTACTTCTTTAATTACAATGCATATTCCTTCATCAAGGACATAGTTCATCTTAATTCCACAAGGTATTTTATTCATATTTAGTACAAGTAAAAAGATCAGCAATGACATAGATATTTAAACATGACAGAATTCTCATTCATTTTCTGAAGTGAATTTTGACAATGTTTTGGTGTATTTTCATTATTTAAGATAGAAATAGGTAGAAGTTTTAAGTACCTTGAAAGACCTATCAGACTTGTGTTTTTGAAGATACAGTTTTGGAAATTGAAATGTTCATGTCTTGACTATCTTGAATCAGTCCCCTGATTAATTTTCATGCCACTGTCTGTTAAATTATATTTTTAAAAATTACAAATACCTTTATGAATTTAGATTATATAATTTCAACAACATTTTGACCCACTAACTGTATTCTTGATTTAATTCTAAGTTTTAAATGCTATTATAAAATCATTTATGACATTTGGAGACTATGATAGCTTTCTGTGTTGCTTCTGCTTAGAATTTGAAGAGAAAATTTGGTTATTGTTATTTCTTCATTATTTCTCATATTTATGAAATAAGGGTGTCAGAAGGAAAATTAAAAACTGTAAATGTTGAACTATAACTTGTGTAAGCACTCCAGTTACATGTTAAATGTTATTTGATAGATTAAATTGGAATTTATTATACACAATAGTACATATGCATGTGAACCAATACACGGTGACTATTTCTCTTCAGATATATTTATATATAGTCCTATATTTGCATATAGTAAGTTTCACTGTTTTAGAATAAATATATAAATGTAATAGAATATGGTCTAGAGTTGAATTTTGTTGTCCTAACATAGGTTACTTTTAATGTTATAATTACTTAAGAAGTTGTAATTATCATGAACATGTTGATGTAACTTTACGTGTAACCTGTGTATAACATACTAATACAATTCAGCTATCAGCAATGTCACATGTGTTAAACAGTCTGCGTCTGTGGTAACCTGGCAATCACCTCTAAGACATGTAACTAACCTTGGCACTGGGGAAACTTTAGCTCACAAAGGCAAGTGCTGCCTATATACATTAGGGCACTATTTTGTTTCCATAGCAACAAATCAATGCAGAAACAGTTTTGGAGTGGTCACTGGTGCCATTCAGGAGAGTTCACAAATAATTTTTCTTGTCCTCGCAGTATTATTGTCACCTCGATAATTTGAGAACTTAATAATACTCATTTAAAAGTTCAAATTAAGACTGTCCCTGAGGACATACAGACATAATGTGTATTTCGAGAACACAAGTCATTTTGCTGCCGTTGCTGAGGAAACCCAATCCTGCTTGAATTGACTATACTACTAATAATTAACCCCATGGCTTAGCTTTTCTCTGATTTCTACAGAGTTGAGCTTATAACAAATTTTATTCCAAATTTATTTCATCAGAGTCATTGCCTTAGCATACTCCTCAACATGGAGATACATTGTTTCCATTTTTAAGTAACACGATAAACAAACAAGCAAACCAAAATACCAAACTTTTAACAACCTGTCGAGATATATTCTAGTGTTTGGTTTCTCATAATTCCAATCATTACATGACTCTTTCAGAGTTGCTTGAGTTCATTCTGTAGTAGTCTGTCGCCGCCAGCCATCACTAACCTTCCATACCTTAGGTTGGTAGCTTTTTATTTGAACATACCATTGTTTTTCAATTACAACCATCAACTGCATTCTGTTCACCGATACCAGTGTAGATCTTTCCACATAAAGTTCTGTCTATTAAAATAGTAAATTTGCTGCCACGCTTTTCCTTTAAGCATTCTGTGCTGTGTTCTGTTCAGTGTCAGTGTCTTTAGTTCTGATTTTTCTATTTTGTCCCTCTCCTTTTCCTTGACTTGTTAGTCTGATCCAACCTCTTCTACCTCATCCGATGATTATCAATATGTTATGGAAGCTAAACTACAAGAAATGATCTCCATACGTAGGAAGGTAGTCCTACTGGACTTTACTTTCTATTGCTAAATAGAATCCATCTAAGTTTTTCTTTTCATTTATTAAAATTATGTTACTTTTATTTATTGATAATCGACCATCTGTGCAGTTCAGTGCTTCAGGAGCTTAAGATTGGACAATGGCAGGTTTGTGTTCAAACCATGCACAGTCTGCATGTTACATTTGGCTGATTTCATTGCTCATAAATAACTCCAATGTTTTGCTGATGCTTGGATGTAACAGGCCTTTGTAGCTGACACATTTCAAGCAATGCTGTTCAGCTGCCTGTTTAACGAAAGTTTATTTTTGAAAACTACATTTGCGGTTGGTAGTAGCTTGCTTTACATTTTATTTCAGTTTATTTAGAGGAAATGTGTTCATCAAGTCTTACATGTCAGGTGCATTTTTCATATTTCTTAACAGGCTGAAGAGAGACATGGAAATATTGAAGAACGTATGAGACATCTGGAAGGTCAACTTGAAGAGAAAAATCAAGAACTTCAAAGAGTATGTCTATTAAGCACCTCTACCTCAATGATCAGTTTATGGATTTATATTCTACATACAAAAAAATGAACGTCTTTCGTGGTCATGGGTTGTATTGAAAAAGTTATGGATATGCCGTTTGCACTTCAAAGAAATTAAGTTTCTAACAATTTAATCAAAATCAATATAAAATTAAATCCATTTTTAAAACTACAGAAAATGTAGAAATAAACCCAGAGACTTATTTAATGATTTTATGTCGAATTTATTTTTTTTTTTCTTGCATGTAAGGCTAGGCAAAGAGAGAAAATGAATGAGGAGCACAACAAAAGGTTATCCGACACCGTGGACAGACTTCTGACTGAGTCCAATGAACGCTTACAGCTACACTTAAAGGAGAGAATGGCTGCTCTAGAGGAGAAGGTAACATGGCAGTAGAGTGGAATCACGTGAACATTTCACTGCGTTCTTGTGCTCACGTTTGTTTTATACCAGCTGGGGTCATTACATTGATCGGATGATTCATTGACTTTCCTTAATTAAAAAAAAGGATGTTCTTAGAAGAGAATGAACAGCTTCTGTAAAAATGTATAAAATCAATTTTTATTTATTTTAATTTTTTATTTCTTTTTTATAAGATCGATTTTTAAATGAATAAAAATTATTTATAGTATATAAATTTTGCATATTAATATGATCATCTGAGACAATTGTGTTAAATGTGCTGCATTTTTGTGTTAAAAATATTTCATTTGTCCTTCGGTATGCAAGGAAGAAGAGTGATAAGACAAAAATAAATATGTTGGGGGTGTGCAAGGAAGCTTGTTTTGAATTATTCAAATGTCTTAAGTAACTGAATCTATCACTGGTCTAAAAGCCAGACTGTGGGTGAGCTTAATGTCAATCTCGGTACAGAGTTTAGGCATGCAATCTATCTACCTACATTGTTTTTTTTAAAAGTGCTTCTGTACAGTCTGCAATTTCATTCACATTTACATATGTCTCATTGACAGCAGGCAGCTTTCAAACCAGCAAGAGTTATATGAGCTGGTTTCCAATTCCAAGGCATAAACAAAAGTAGAGGATAAAACCTAGGTGCACAAATCATTTTGGAAATTTAGATTGAATGCCAGCACTACTTAAGCTAGACATTTTCCCCTGCATCATCCAATAAACCAAAATTGAAAAAATAGGTTTTGATAAAATGTTAAAGTATTTTGATTAATTTACCCATTAGGGAGTCATAGGCATGACTTCTTCCCATTCAACTCCAAATTCATGGACTACTCCAATTACTACACTCTTGGTTTAACTTAACTCTGTAAACTTGAAAACCATACATGGTTTTAAATCACGCTTTGTAGTACTATAAGAACATTATAAAGCTTATAACAGTAATACTTTTATGGCAAGGATTTTTTAAAAATATCTATAATGCAACTTATGTTCACATGTTATGATGTGTCACATCAGTTTTTTAAATCACTAAACTTTTGCTTTATTTCTCTAAAAAATTAACTATCACAGAAATTGATAATTCTGCATTTGAAATAGAATTCCAGAAATTGAACATTTAAAAAATAAACTGGGAGGAGTGGGGGAAAGGTGGAAAAATGGGAGATATCTGTAATACTATTAATAAAAAAATATTAAAAATAAATAAATAAATAAAAATATGATATTATCTTTGCTTGTTTTTTCAGATAATAAAAATAATCTGAATTCTTTATCAACAATACTTCTGGACAATATTGATCTTTTTCTTATTTGAAGAGTAACCTAATTATTTCACATTTTACAGTGACTGAGAGGATGCACACAGAAATATAAAGATAATATTCAGTCCATTTGTCAATTCAAATGTTACAAACAAAGTATCCAATTTAAAGTTGTATTTCTCAAAATGTTAAGGTGTAATGTTTAAAGGTTCCATTGAAACTTGGTTTTCAAAGAAATCAATAAATAAATGCAGAAAAAATTGATGAAGAAGGTTCTTGAGTGATAAAAATAGTTTATATATTTAATTATTTTCTGTTTAGTTTGTTTTATTTTTGTTTTTCTTTCCTCTTCTGTAGAATGTTTTAATTCAAGAATCAGAAACTTTCAGAAAGAATCTAGAAGAATCTCTACATGATAAGGTATTACGGAAACTTACATTTTGCCTATTTTTCTATTTCATATTGGTGAATGTTTTATAAAATAAATTTCAACAGAAATAATTTTAAGATGCCTTCTTTTTAAAACAATTTTAAATTTTATATTATACATATGAGATTACATATATTGGGAGAGCTTGATGAATTTTTACAAACTAAACACACTAAAAATCATCATTCTGGAAGCCCCCCACTCATTAACATATAATCACTACTCAAATACTAAAGGGTAATCACTATCTTGACTTCTTAAAGAAAAAAATTAACTTTTCGGTCTCACAGTCAGTGTGTACACAATCTCTGAAAAGATAGATCTACTAGAACAGTATAATATGATGCTTAGAATATAACATCAGATTCTCTTTGAAGTAGTCGAGAATGTCTGCATGGAGAGAGATGACATTTCTTTAGGCTCTAGAAGGCAGATATATTCTTATATAAAGAAGGGTAGGATAGAGAAGAGAGCCTATGTAATAGCATAGAGAAAACAAAGATGGTTGATTTGCTGTATCATCAGAAGTTTGCTGAGACTGGTATGTGTGTAAAAATAACTAGATTTTGACCAGATTGTAAATTTTGGACTTGATCCTGTTATGCAGTATTATGTTATTCAAAACTCTGTGTGTTCCTGGCAAGATATCCAGAACCTACTCCCTCACCACCACCCTACCCCAGCCTTGTAGCATCAGCAATCTGCCTAAGCAGCCAGCAGTACTAATCACTCCATGCTTCCCATCCTTGTTCATGTCAATTGCCAGAAGAAGCAAATTCATGTCATACTTCATTTCTGAATATCATCTCATACAGCCAAGCATATTTCCTAATCTAACCATATTTCCTATAACTCCTGAAATTTCTACTCAATTCTCTATAATGCATTATCAGCAAAATCCCCTGTGTACACAGCCTCTTCTCTCCATGTTTCTCTTCATCATTCTGATCTCTTAAATTTGAAGTTCATAGGACTGTCCTTGGATTTCTTCTCTATGCTTAGTCCCTGGTGAACTCATATGATTTCATGGGTTTAAATACTATCTATAAATTGAGTACTTCAAAATTTACATCTCCTACTGGGTTCCCTATCCCGAGGGAGTTCATATATGCAATAATCTACGTTTTTTTTAAAAGGAGTCTACTTAATATCTTATTTAGACACATAAACAACTTAAACCCTTGCATCACCACTTAATCTCACCATCACTGTCAGCAATCTTCTCAGTAAATCTTTCTCTTAGTCACTCAGGTTAAAAGCCTTGGAGTATTCTTAACCACATTCAGTCTAATAGAAAATTCTATACTATTTTCAAAATATGACCAAATTCCAGCCATACCCTCCGTACCGCCATTGTTGTCCAAGCCATGATTCTCCCGCCTGTTTTTGGAAGAACACTAATAAGTGCATGTCTTCCTTTCCTCCCAACCAATTCAAGTTCAGTTTCCAGCCATCAGAATGGCCATGCTACTTCTCTACTCAAAAATCCTCTGGTAATTTCCTATCTCACTCAGCGGAAAGCCAAAGGCTCTAATGGTTTACAAGGCCATTCAGGACTCCTCTTCTCAAACCTTGTAATCCTACTTTCTAAATTTATCGCATGTCTGCCTTTGTTGTTAACCTCCCCAATCCAGCCCCACTGGCCTCTTTGCTCGCTACATATACTCCCACCAAGGGGCATTTGTACTTGCTGTTCCTTTTCTCTGCCATATCTTTTCATATAAGATATTCCAGTTTTCATAACTACCTCCCTTTCTTTAGTTCTTTACTCAAATATCACTTTATTGAAGAGCCCTTCCATGTTCCTCCTGTTTTCTCCTTCCTACCAACATCCTTAAGACCATAGTTGTTTATTGTGTTTTCTGCCAAATTATAAATTACATGAGAGCAGGAAATTTGTTAGTTTATTACTGTATCTTAGGTGCCTAGACACAAGAGGTTCTTAATGCATAATAGGGGAAATAACAAACAAATTAATTAACAAATATAAAAAGCAATTGTTTAATTTTTTTAAAGTATTGATCTAATCATACATCATTTTTTAAGTGATATATCTAACAGAAGAATATGTGGGGAAAAGATTGAAGGGAGCATCACCTTTGTGGAAGCTGGTAAAATATTCATAAAAGAGATAAAAAGGATGTAGGGTAGAACGGTGGTAGTAAGAATGAAAATAATAGATATGAGAAACTTTACAAAGTTCACATTGACAAAAAAATAGTGAAATGAGAAAAGAAGTATGAGTCAAGTAAAATGGCAAACACATGACACCTAGAGAGGGAAAAAACAGCAATAGAAAATCCAGAAGGACACATTTAAACATCTATATAATAAAAGCCCAAGCGACCTTTATGGTGGAACAACCAGAACGACTGGTTGCTATGATCACACTGGCCACCAGGGGACAGACGCTGAATGCAGGAGCTGCCCCCTGATGGTCAGTGTGCTCCCACAGAGGGAGCACTGCTCAGCCAGAAGCCAGGCTCAAGGTTGGCGAGTGCACCTGCAGTGGTGGGAGCCTCTCCCGCCTCCATGGCAGCACTAAGGAGCAGCAAGCTTAACGTTAAGGAGCAATGAACACACAGGCAGTAAGGAGCAAGAGGTCCTGGACTGTGAGTGGGCACAGGCCAAGCTGAGGGACACCCCCCCTCCAGTGCACAAATTTCATGCACAGGGCCTCTAGTTCATATTATAAAAATTATAATTATGAAAACAAAATTAAGTGCTTACATGAGCACTTAAATGCTATAAGACAACTTTTGATAAATTTTTAGACTGAAATTGATAATGCCAATCTGAGAAAATTATCAGTTGCACAAATAATTGTACTGTTATCAAACTGATAATTTAACTCATATTAGATGATTATTTTTTTCCTCATTCTTTTAATTCAACCTTCTTTCTCCTTCACCTCTATATCTTTCTACTCTTATGGAATAATAGAAATCCTTCACTGACTGCATAAATAGGACCTTTTCTTATTTTTTAAACCAGCTATGGTTTTGACTCTGTATTTTTAAGTGATGTAAACATAGCTGGTCACAACCTTAGTATTCCTGGGGTTTTTTTAAATTAAAAATTAATGAATTCCAGTAACTATAGATAGTGTTTTGTTGATTTCTGCCATTCACATTTTCATTACAAGGGGAAAAAATCAGGCATGCTTTACTTTCATGATGAATAAGTTTTAATAAAATTATATCCATCAGTTTTTTCATTTTTTAAAAACCCACTAAACTTGGTGGCTGGCTTGGTTTATCATAATTGAGTCTTGGTATTATTGGTATTTGTATATCATTTAAGTAACACTTCTTTGATTTTTAGGAAAGATTAGCAGAAGAAATTGAAAAGCTGAGATCTGAACTTGACCAATTGAAAATCAGAACTGGCTCTTTAATTGAACCCACAATATCAAGGTAACATTAAATTAAAAGCTTATCTGCAGTTGACTAAAAACCAACATGAATCTCCTTATGGTTAATATCTCCTCAAATAAAATAGACAAATACATGTGTCTCCTATTGCCTAGCCATTGCCTTATTTGACTCCTCACCAATTTAGTTTCTACATTCCAAAATAATTGTATAATTTAGAAATCCTTTCTGCAGATTTATAATAAAAGTTGAAATCACTATCTTTCATATTCTGCATTTATTATATAGATATAAGATGTAAAAAGAATATTAAATGAAGAAATGAACTGTATGGTAGATTACATCTCATTCCAGGAAGAAGTATCAGCTCTTTTCTCTACATGCAGAAATATTTTCAATGCTAATGTTATTGAAGAAATATCATTGATTGTGGTCATTCACATTTAAAGAGCATATAACTATTTTGGTAAAGTAATTGCAAATAAAGAGGAAAAGCAAAATTATATTTGCTAAAGAATTCAAGTTAATTTAGCTTTACTTATCTACTTTGACTCAATACCTAATCTTTAAAAAAGAAGCAACGAGACAATTGTTTCTCTCTAGATAGACTTCAATAATTCACATAAAAGTTTATTTTTTGCTTAGAGACTTTTATTTAAATTCTATTAGAAACCCTAGAAGGGCTCACTCATTTAATCATTTATTTATTAAGCAATACAGTGACATCAGCTATCTGAAACTTTTGACACCACAGATTTCTAGATGTTCATGTTTCATGGTCATACGTTTATATTAAGAATATTAGTTTCATGAGGGCTGAAGCTAATATTCTTAATATTTTCTCTCTAATAACTACAATCTCAGAACCTTAAATAAACTGCCATATAGTGTGCTTTCAATCAATATTGTTGAATGAATTAATATCTGGTAAAGGATTTTTCAGATGTTCAGATGACTAATCCAAATTTTAAAAAAAATAATTCTAAAGGAGATTATATTTGTCAGTATAGGTACTAATGAAACATTCAGTATTTTGAGTATTTCTCAAACTCATTTCTGTAGACATAAATACACCTAAATACATCCAAATTTTTTAAAACGGATAGGCCTTTAATTTTGAAAATCATGCTTATTTTAAAGAAAGTATTCTGACTCTGAATCAAATTAATTCAGTTCCATGTGTTCATATGGTGATGATTATTATGATGATGGAGAAGAAAAAAAAAGAGCTGATAAATAGAAAAGGTGTAAATACAGAGAATGAACATTATTAATTTAACAAATTAAATGTATTTTAATAGGATCCAATGGGCATTTCATTGTCTTTTTCCCTTTCAATCTTAGGAATGCAGAGTTCTAGAGGTGTTGTCTAAAAGTTCATGCTGCAGTGAATCATCATGGGCCACCTAACAATGTGACATTTATTCACAATTACAGAACAACACAGTACAACTTTCCTCTGTGCTGCAGACTGTAGTAGAAATAACACTACAGCAAGCATTCTTAGCTTCAGATATACAATTACTAGCTGTTTGATTTTGAAAAACCCATTTCCTTACAAAGGTTCTAATTTTGTATATATTTTGCATGAGTTATATATAAAATACTGTTTTTCTGACCATCTCACAAGCTTACATTCCAGATAAAATGAGAGGTAATCAAAGGGGTTTTGTGAACAGTAAATCACACCAAAATTATAAAGTATTATAGGAATTATTAAGGTAAGCTGATGGAATTTATAGTAAGTTACAGTATAATCAAATATTTATTAAATAGCAATTATTTGTTGGACAGCCATGCTTTTGAGTGCATGTAATTAAGAAAGAAACAATGAAGAAAACAGATGGTGCATGATAGCTTCATCAACTTGTGTTTGATTTTCCAGTTGAGGAGGTAGGAAGAGATGAGCTAAAGTTAGTGATTATCTATCTACACTAATAAAAGACAAACATGCAAATTGACCGTACCTTTGCTAAATGTTAAGCCATGTCCACAAGCCAATCAGAGTGACTATATGCAAATTAGCTCAACCAGATGGCGGCCGGCAGCCACAGAGCTGGAGCAAGCAGGAGGCTTGGTTGCTCCAGTGATGGAGGAAGCAAAGCTTCCTGCCTGCCGCGGCCAGCTCTGAGCTCCACTCAAGGCAACAAAGTTTCAATCATAGAAGATAAATAAACCAGATACCTGCTTTCAGCTGGCCATGGCCACAGAGCTGGAGTGAGCAGGAGGCTTGGGTTGCCCCTGGTGATGGAGGAAGCCAAGCTTTCTGCCTGCCCTGGCAGGCTCTGAGCTCCACTCAAGGCTACAAAGTTTCAATTATAGAAGGTAAATAAATCCCAGAATAAAAAAAAAAAAGGAGAGGCTGGAAGCTTACATTACTGGGGGGCTTGGCCAGCCTGAAAACAGCCCTCAGACCCTCACTCAGACTGGCCAGGCACCCCAGTGGGGACCCCCACCCTGGAGGGGGTGTGGACAGGTGAAAACAGCCATCAGCCCCTCACCCAAGCTGACCAAACCTCCATGGGGTGAAGGTCCCCACTTGGGAGGGCTTGACCAGCCTTCAAACAGCCATCAGCCCTCACCCAGGCTGGCCAGGCACCCCAGTGGGACCCCCACCCTGAAGGGGGTGTGACCAGCCTGCAAACAGCCATCAGCCCCTCACCCAGGCTGGCCAGGCACCCCAGCGGGACCCGCCACCCTGATCCAGGACACCCTTCAGGGCAAACCAGCCAGCCCCCACCCATTCACCAGGCCTCTATCCTATATAATAAAAGGGTAATAAGCAAATTGACCCTAACAGCAGAACGACTGGGAATGACTGGTCACTATGACACACACTGACCACTAGGGGGCAGATGCTCAATGCAGGAGCTATCCCCTGATGGTCAGTGCAATCCCACAGGGGGAGCTCTGCTCAGCCACAAGCCAGGCTGATGGCTGCCAGCACAGCGGTGGTGGCGGGAGCCTCTCCCGCCTCCTCAGCAGTGCTAAGGATGTCCGACTGCAGCTTAGGTCTCCTCCTTGCTGGTAAGTGGACATCCCCCTAGTGCTGCCGGGCTGCCAGAGGGAAGTCTGACTGCCAGCTTAGGCCCAATCCCCTGGGAAGCAGGCATAAGCCAGCAAGTGGACATCCTCCTAGGGGTCCCACACTGCAAGAGGGCATAGGCCGGGCTGAGGGACCTCACCCCCGGGTGCACAAATTTTTGTGCACTGGGCCTCTAGTATATATATAAAAGCCTAAGCGACCTTTGCAACCAAAAGACCAGAAAACTGGAACCACTGGTCAACCAGTCGCTATGACGCACACTAACCACCAAGGGATAGACACTCAATGCAGGAGCTGCCCCCTGGTGGTCAGTGTGGTCCCACAGCCAACCTCCTACAGCCTCACCCCCACCCTGGCTGGCCAGCCTCTTGAGGCCCCTCCCCCCTGCCTGGCCAGCCCCCAATAGGCATCAATTGCCGGCCAGGCCAACGGACCCCACCTGTACACCAATTCGTTAACCAGGCCTCTAGTCAGTAACTAATATCCTCTACTAGTATCTCATCTGAGAAGAAAGTAAAATAAGTAGCAGAGTGTCTGGAGACAACCTGATTTGGCTGAACTCTGAAGAAAGGGTAAGATGTGGATAATTAGGACAATAGAGGACATTCTAGAAGCAGATGAATGGATTACTGGTTTACTCTAAGAAAATTCATATTTGATTTATCTATGGACATTCTTTTGTGAGATAATGTGCAAGAGTCACAGGAGACTCCAGAGTGAAAAAAACACGAGGGTTCCTTGTCTACATGAATTGGTGACTGTAGATGCACTTGTTTTTTTAAATATATTTTATTGATGTTTTTACAGAGAGGAAGGGAGAGGGATAGAGAGTTAGAAACATCAATGAGAGGGAGACAGCCATCAGCTGCCTCCAGCACACCCCATACTGGGAATATGCCCACAACCAAGGTACATGCCCTTGACCGGAATCGAACCTGGGACCCTTCAGTCCACAGGCCGACGCTCTATCCACTGAGCCAAACCGGTTAGGGCGATGCACTTTTAACTTAAACCTCCTAGTATGTCTCAAAATAATGTACAGCACATGATTAAAATTTTAAATATATAGAAATATTACCTTTGTTAGAGAACTAGCTCACAGAATGAATAAAAGGAAAGAGGTGAGCAGTAAGCTTCTTTTTTTAAAAAAAAAAAATATATATTTTATTGATTTTTTACAGAGAGGAAGGGAGAGAGATAGAGAGTTAGAAACATCGATGAGAGAGAAACATCGATCAGCCACCTCCTGCACATCTCCTACTGGGGATGTTCCCACAACCCAGGTACATGCCCTTGACCGGAATCGAACCTGGGACCCTTCAGTCTGCAGGCGGATGCTCTATCCACTGAGCCAAACCGGTTTCAGCAGCAGTAAGCTTCTTAGATCAAGTGTAAGCAATGGGCTCTTCTATGATTGCTGTTGTCTCAGGCCTCAGGTTATTTCAAGGTCAATTAAACATTTTTTATTTACCAGACACTGTGGTATTACAGATACAGTGATGATGGTGGTGAAGAGGACACGTTCCAGATGGAAAATAGAGGAATAATGGTTTGAGGGCCATTTTAATGGAAGGAATGTGAGGAGTTAAAATAGCATATGACAATGGGATTTTAAACTGAGACTTTAAGAACGCTAACCATGTAAATGTGTGACGGGACTGTTTTCAAAGGCTCAGAGACAAAAGAAAGCGTGAGTTGTTGAGGGAATTGAAAGTCAGTACAGCTAGATGGAGAAATACAGACAGTAGTTAGAAGTGAAGCTGGAAATTAATTGTAGAGGGCCTTTTCAGGACACTGAAGATGTTTAAGCTGGTTGTCAGTGGGACCAGATCTGTGTTTTGTTTTATGTTTTTAAAAAATGACCTAGAGTTGAGAGATAAAACAACAAAAAATACTCCTAGGATGCTATCATAATTTTAGAAAATCCACTCCAATGCCCAAAGAGGCAGTACCCTAAGTACCACAGGCAAAAGGCACATAGAATGTTCTGAGCTGGTTTGGAATGTATTATAATCAATTTCATTCATTATCTTACCAGACATTTATTAGGTACTTAATAAATCCTTGAGCATACAATGGTGATGAAAATATATTTGTCTGTCAAACAGATAAATACTAAGATTTGTACCATTTACAACCATGGCCTCCTCGGTTAGTTTTTTATATATGATTAATCCACATAAAAAATATAACTTGCTTAAGTCTCACATTAACAGCTGTAAAAAACAATCTCTGTCCTCTCTTTTGGGGATGATTCCTTAATTCATTTGCTTTAATGTCCTATTTGGCAAAACAAGGGCTTGCATCAGCCTGGTCAATATCTTCTAATGTTATAAACCCTCAGACTTCACCTAACCTCTTTCATCTAATCTGGCCAAATATTTGGCAATGCTCCATTCACAAAGACACCTAGGGGCAAAAACATAGATCAGCAAGAGTCCCAAGTTCCAGAGTAAACAGAGCTTTAAGTATATTTGCTACTGATAATAAATCATTTTGTAGGACAGCATGTTGCCACTGTTATCATTATTATTATAGTAATACACTGAATTTGCTGTAAATCTCCATATAAATAATGTTCACGGAGAAACTTTTACTGCACTTTAATTAGAATGTACTTCATTATCATGCTTATTGAAGAACAGTGTGCCAATATTTTCCAATTGGAATGTTCCAACTGTTTCATCTGTAAGTAGATTTCCAAATCAGATGTGATCATCAAAACATATTTTTTTTAATTTAAATGAATGTCTTATTAAAAGCTAAAAAAATTATTTGGGTGGTATATCCTATTTTATTACAAAATAACTTTAACCTTGGGTCAATCTGATTTTAAGCATTTTTTTGTTGATTTTTCTAAGTTGAAAAATAGAATATTAAAAAACAGAGAATTCTGGGACCCCAAAAGTTTACTTTTTTTCTGTTATATTAATGAGAAATGCTTAAAACAAATACAGTAACAAATAGCATATATTGGGATAGCCACTAACCAGCTCAAACTAAATATAGAATTGCCAGAATTTAAGCCTCAGGATTTTGGCTGGCGATCTTAACATGTTTTGTTGTCCCACGACATTTGAAAATAATAATTAATGAACAGAAAGGCTTTTTATATTCTAAAAAGAGAAAATGCAGTCGACCTTCAGGAAGGAACCTGTGGCCAGAATTTCTGGCATACGCCTCTGGAGTGACCTCAGAGGGTCAGGACAATTCATCAGTTTTCTTTCTTGAAGTTTATTTCCTTGAGGCTTTATTGCCAATTAAGAAGTGGATAGTGATTTGCTGATAAGTTTAACTTTGGCGATTGGCTATATTTCATATTTTTCATTTCTTCCAGGACTCACCTGGACCCCTCAGCTGAGTTGCGCTATTCCGTTGGATCCCTCGTGGACAGCCAGTCTGACTACAGAACCACTAAAGTAATAAGAAGGCCACGGAGAGGCCGCATGGGCGTGAGAAGAGATGAGCCAAAGGTTAAACTTTTTATTTCAAGTCTCTGATGGTTTTGAGTAAATATGCTATTGCATTTTGGACAGAATTTTAATCCTGAGAAGATTTAAAATGCTAACATTTTTATTAGTGTGACATATGCCATGCTTTAAAAACAATAACAAACCTGAAACCCCTACTGTATGCTAGAAGTTCAACCAAGAATTTCCCTGTATTTATCCACATAATTTTATGAATTGGGTACTATTTTTATGCTAACTTAAGATATAAAAATATTGAAGTTCAGAAATTTTGTGTTCAATTACACAGCCAGCAAAGTAATAGAATCAAAACATGAGCTTATGTTTGCATCATTTTAAATTCCGTGCTTCTATCCATTATGCTATTTTGCCAAACAAATGTCTTTTTTGTTTGCTTGGGCACCTAAGCACTGGCATTCATACTGTTGATTAAAATTAATTAAATATTTTAATTGTAATTACGACTTTAAAAACACTTTGAGGAAAATGTACACAGAGTATTGAAGGTGTTTGGAGAGAATTGTCCATGATCAACTGCAGTGCCAGCCTTGCATTCACTCAATAACTTCAACTTCGTAAGCTATGCGTGTTCAGTAAGTATGTAGTTGCATTTGATAGAGAACATAATTCCTTTGTGCCCTAAGTATATTTGTTCTCCCCAACCCCTTGTATGTGTCCAAAATACTACATAATCTGCTTGTCTTTATTTGTACAAACCCTTTCTTTCCTTTTCTTTTTGAACACTTGGTTTTTTAATTGGTACCTATGTGTCATGTACAAATTCATCCCTCATAAAAGGCAATCAGTATCTGTTGAATGGATAGATAAATAAACAAATGACAAATAAATTAAGTTCATCTTAGTTCTTTTCTCATTTTAATGAAAAAATAAATTAATAATACTCAGTGCCAAAACAATTTGTGAAATAAAAGCTAACTCAGGTTTTCAAATCTTAAATAAATGCTCAAGGCAATATCATTGTATCATCACAAAGATTGAAAAAAAATTAAAACAGCAGTTTTACTAGAACCTCAGTTTTACTCCCAAACCTCTCATACTTTGAGATTACAGCTTCGAAAACACTGGTCTCTTGGTTACTCAGGACTTTCAGTCACATGAGGTTTTATTATATCAGTTAAAACGTTGGTATGCCTTGGGCTTTAAAAAAAAACATAATCAGGCATTTGAGTAGAGCAGAGCAGTGGAAATGAAATGAAATTACTTTGCAATATTTTTAATAATACTTATTTCAATTTATGTAAATGACTGTTGGGGAGAGAATTCATGTATAATTTTCTGTGTAATAATATTAGTATTCTGAGTCTGTAATACAAAAGTGTAGATAAGATGAATTAGTACAAGAAATGGGAATGCTTGAGTACAAGTCAGTAGAAAGGGTTAATTTGTAAAAAAGGAGAAATGTTACAAACACAAATGCTTTAAAGTAATTCCTACCTCAGTTTGGGGTTGAGCTAGATATCATGGGAAGTTTTACATTTATTATTTTTATTTCTATTAAAATGTTGATACTTATGCGGACACTACTTCCCATAACATAAAATGCCAACGAGTTATTTTATTGAACCAATACATTGGAATGTTAATCATCAGTTCAGCTTTTGCCAAGTAATATGTAAAAGCATGTGTGCTTTTGTGTTGTTTTTCAGAATATTGCTTTGAAAGTGAATAATGTTATCAATACTATAATTGTGCACCATTCAGGTGAAATCTCTCGGAGATCATGAGTGGAATAGAACTCAGCAAATCGGAGTGCTAAGCAGCCATCCTTTTGAAAGTGACACAGAAATATCTGATATTGACGATGACGACAGAGAAACGATTTTTAGCTCCATGGATCTTCTCTCTCCAAGTGGTCATTCTGATGCCCAGACTCTAGCTATGATGCTTCAGGAACAATTGGATGCTATCAACAAAGAAATCAGGTGAGTTCCGTTATTCTGGTGGTGATAACTAGAAGACCTGGACATTAAAAATATGATCATCATATCAAAATCATTGGCATTGACTGGGAGGGTATTGGAATTGCAGAATTTCATACTTCACTCCACATCTACTGATTCAGAATGGCATTTTCACACCATCCCCTGGATGTCTGTATATATCCTATATGAAATTAGGGCAGCTTTTGTAAGGAACATACATAAAACATATAGACATGATATGAGGAGGATATGAAAGAATGAGGTAAAGTTTAAATCTTCTACAATGAATTTTAAAGCACTTTTTAAATTTAAATTTACTATTTAAATGGTATTGGTGGTGATAAGATACATTATCAAGGTACAGCTAGCACTGCTGTAAAGCTACTAACTAGCGTGCAAATTCATGTGCAGCCAGCTCCTTAAAAGTATTTAGACATTGGTGTGAAATTAACCATTACTGAATTATTTCAAAATAGGTACTTAAAAAGGTATCTAGGTAATGGATGATTTTAAAAGAGTAGAATAGAAATTGTACAACTTAACATTCAAATATTGAGAAATATCACTATGACCATTTAAATTTTAAGTTATGTGTTTTCTTGAATTCTGATGACATCCATGGTCTGTTTCTATTATTCCTTTGATTAATCCAAGTGAAGAACCTTATTGTGTCAGGTGGATTTGTTTTCCTTCAAACTAGGAAACTATTCTTTATTTTTTTTTCAACGGATGAGCAATTTTTACTATTTTGAACAATGCCTTTATTGGTTCTTTCTACACTAGCTTTAATCTGTTGACCTCCTACTTTGATTCAAATTACCTCGTTTGCCACTATCATCAACACATTGTACATTATAGTAGTTTCTCACCTGGATGACAATCATAGTTTTACCTGGTTTCTTTGTAGTATTTGGATTTCCAAGCTAGTTCAAACTGACACTGCAGCCAGAGCAGACTTTTAAAACCCAAATGTGCTTATGTATTTTCCTTGTTAATTAAGCCCTTCAGTTTCTCTTAAGATAAAGATCAGAATTCTTTGATGGTATGCAATGCCCCATCTACTTCAGCATTCTCTTGCCTTCACCTGTTCTAGTCCATGTTCCATTATACCAGTACATGACTTCCTGTTCTTTGAATGTTCCATCTATTCCCTTTGTTGTGGCTGTTCTTTTCTTCTGTTATATTCTCCTCAATCCACACTGTTCTACCCTAACTCTTCACCCACTTTATACTACTCACCATGAACATCACGCCATCACTTCTGTCCTTCAGTTCACTTTTCGGTCCTTTAGGTTTTTGTGTTTTGGTTTTTTTTCACTAGATCATACGTTATATAAGAGCTAGGAGGTATATCTGGTTTTGCTTCTGTTTTATTTCCAACATTTAAGCACTTTGCTTGATAAATAGAAAGTGCTTCATGAATATTTGTTTATTATAAATAGAAAAATATATAAAACATGAATTTCAAATAAATAACACTTCCTGATGCTGTGCAGCTAATGGTTGAATTCACTATTGAATAGATTAAAAATCAAGTATGCACCCTTGTGATATTTGTTTTTACACACACACACACAAACATACACATGCTCCCAATAACATGTGATGTCCCTCCAGGGACTCAGCTTTCTTGCATTAGGGTAGAAATTCCCAGTAACAATCATGGCCTAGACTAATTAAGTTGATACCCAAATAGTAAATTCAAACTATTATCTTTTAATATGTTCATCACTACTCCCCCCCTTAATGTAGAGTAAAATAGTTGCTGATTGTAAGACATTAAGAAATACATAAAATTTGAGTACATAGCAACATTTAAAAGAAATAGGCACCTTAATATAAACTGTGGTATTATGCTAACAGTAATTGGAATTTATCTCTGGTTAGAATTTTTCTAATTTCACAAATTAATTATTTCACAAAATATTTTTATTTTAAATCCTCTTCTCTGGCTTCTTACTGTTCACTGATTCTCTTTTTTTAATTTATTTTTTCAATATATATACTTTTTATTGATTTCAGAGAGGAAGGGAGAAGAAGAGAGAGACAGAAACATCAATGATGAGAGAGAATCATTGATGGGCTGCCTCCTGCACGCCCCCTACTGGGGGTCAAGCCTGCGAACCGGGCATGTGCCCTTACTAGAAATCGAACTCCTGGCTCCTAGGTCAATGCTCAGCCACTGAGATCATTCACGGGACTCACTGATTCTCTTAACGGGAGAGATCAAAGTACTTTAAACTCATTCATCACTGGAATAGTCATTAATCTGTTCATCTATAGTTAGCTACTATTGGTCCAATTTACTTTTGTCATTTTATTTATTCATTCAACTTGTCTATGATTCCTATGAGAATCCCTTCCCAACACACTAGAACATTTTAAAGGGAATCTATTTTGTTATTTAATTTGCTTTCCACGTATACATCATGATTAGAAAGATCAATGAATTGACATTTATTTTTTTAAAAAAATAAATTGAACAACAAGGCAACATTTGATTTTCTGTTTGACTAAACTTTGATTTGCCTCTTACTCAACTTATTTCTCTAGGTTTGACTCTCCTTTACAATTAATAGAATACTAAAGCTAATAACAACAAGTTCTTTGTATAATAGAACCACATCACCAGATTTTTCTGAAGTCATTATCCACCACTCATTTTAAATGTACAAAAAAAATTCATTTTTTAAGAGGAGTGAGTTTTTCCATTGTCTTGTGCTTAACGCATTAATGATGCTATACTCTGATACTTGATAAAGCCTTTATTTTAGATTAGTTAAAGTGCACCCATGAAAATAAACTTCAAAGTAACAGAAGTTAATTCTTTATGTAAGTAAAAATTATAACTAAGACAAAATTTTATTTTTAGTATTTTTATTGACTGTATTCGTTTGGAGCAGTTTTGGATTCACAGCAAGTTTAGCTGAGGTGGAAGTGCAGAGATTTCCCCATATTGCCTCTGACTCCAAACGTGCATATTCTTCCCCATAATCAACATCCTCCCTCACAGTAGTATGCTTATTACAACTATTGAACCTAAATTGACACATCATATTCACCCAAAGTCCGTAGTTTATGTTATAGTTTATTCTTGCTGTTGTGCATTCTATGTGTTTGGAAGAATGTAGAATGACATGTACCTATCAATATGGTATCAAAGAATATTTTCGCTGCCTTAAAATCTGCTGTGTTCTGCCTATTGATCTTTCTCCCCATCCCAAAACCTGGCAACCACTGCTCTTTTTACTGCCTCCATAGTTTTGCCTTTTCCAGAGTGCCATATGGTTGTAATTATATAATATGTAGCCTTTTCAGATTGGCTTCTTTCATTTACTCATGTGCACTTCATGTTCTCCTATGTCTTTTCATGCCTTAATAGTTCATTTCTTTTTAGTGCTGACTAATATTCCAGTTTATTTATCCATTTACCTATTGAAGGACATCTTGGTTGCTTCAAAGTTTTGGCAATGCTATATAATAAAGAGGTAACATGCAAATTAACCCTTGTGCCCTCACAAGATGGCTGCCTACAACCAGGCCAGCAGGGGGGTTAGTGAGGGACGACCAAACGACTGAACAACAGGCTGAGTGGGGCGATCAGGCCAGCGAGGGGGCCGTGAGGGGCAACCAGGCTGGCAGGAGGGGACAGTAAGAGGTGTCCAGGCCAGCAGGGGGGCAGATAGGGGTGACCAGGCCAGTGGGGGGGTGCAGTTGGGGGTGATCAGTCTGGCAATGGGGGGGCAGTTGGGGGCCATTAGGCTGGCAGAGGGGCAGTTGGGGGCGACCAGGCCAGCAGGAGGTGCAGTAAGGGGTGACTAGGCCAGTGGGGGGGGGCAGTTAGGAGCAACCAGGTCAGCAGGAAGGGGGCAGTTGGGGGCGACCGGGCAGGGGGGAAGTTATGGGCGATCAGGCTGGCACACAGAGGCAGTGAGAGGTAATCAGGCCAGCGGGGAGGGGAGGGTAGTTAGGGGCAACCAGGCAGGCAGGCTGGTGAGCGATTAGGAGCCAGTGGTCCAGGATTGTGAGAGGGATGTCCAGCTGCTGGTTTAGGCCCAATACCGGGTTTAGGCCCAAACATCCCCCGAGGGGTCCAGGTTTGGAGAGGGTGCAGGCTGGGCTGAGGGGAACACCCCCCCCCCCCGCATGAATTTTGTGCACTGGGCCTCTAGTTTTAAGTAAGATGCTCTAAACATCCATGTACAGGTTTTTGTATGGACATAATTTTTCAACTTCTTTGAGTAAATACTAAGGAGCATGATTACTGGATCATATGGTAAGGGTATGTGCAGTTTTATAAGGAACTGTCAGACTGTCTTCTGAAAACTCAGGAGGTTTCTGTCCCCATATTTTTCAAACAAACTATACTGGTACATGGTTTCATTATGACAATATGTAAAATATGTATAGGTTCAACTTAAATAGGAATTTTATTCAACCCAGCAGAAGCTCTTTATTCTTTGTCTTTGTATAGCTAATACACACTGAGTGGCCAGATTATTATGACCACCTGACGTTTGTAGACAAATTAGCTATAATTTCTCGCTGAAGTTGCTAGAGGGCCCGACCATTATAAATAGGGAAGCAGGTTGTTTACCACAACAGTAGGAGTGATTTTTTTCTGAAGATATGGGTAAACAATGCAATTTAACAGCCTTTGAAGGTGGGATATATATATATATATATATAGTATATAGTAAAAATCACTTCTACTGTTGTGGTAAACAACCTGCTTCCCTATTTATAATGGTCTGGCCCTCTAGCAACTTCAGCGAGAAATTATAGCTAATTTGCCTACAAACGTCAGGTGGTCATAATAATCTGGCCACTCAGTGTATACACCTTCTTGAAGCTTGTTTCTATTTAAGCTTTGTCATCTCAAAGGGATCTATAGCAACAGTTTAATTTTATAATTATCTATCATCTTTCATCTCCACATTTTTTAAAAATATATTTTTATTGATTTCAGAGAGGAAGAGAAAGAGAAACATCAATGATGAGATAAAATCATTGATTGACTGCCTCCTGCATGCCCCCTACTGGGGATTGAGCATGCAACCCAAGGATCTTTCAGTCCGCAGGCCAATGCTCTATCCACTGAGCCAAACAAGCTAGGGCCATCTCCACATTATTAAATTGCATGGTGTTTATTTAAAGGTGACTTGGCTAAGTACCTTAATGTTTAAAAAATGACTTAGTCATTTATTTATCCAAATGAAAATTATGAATGACCATTTATTTAGGATTTTATCAATTATACTTTCTTATTGGGTTGGAGGTAAGATTTAATAACTTTGTTGGAATCTGAGTTTCTAAAACTCATTTATCAGCGCAGGAGTTCAAATGTAAGTTTAGGATTAATGGCATACATTAATTATTCAGGCAAGGGGTTTTGTAGGTTATAGTATAAAAGTGGAGAGGAATTATGTGTCACTTAGAAAGTGATTTCTAAATTTCAGCCAGGAAGTCTCTTGAATTTAATGAAAGTTATATTCCCTAGAGAAAAAAAGATGGAACTACTGGATTTGATATAAAATATTCACAGAATTTTTATTGACTCATTAGCATTATGAGAGCATATAATGGATCAAAATTAAACTGTACCTTTCAGGCTAATTCAGGAAGAAAAAGAATCTACAGAGTTACGTGCTGAAGAAATTGAGAATAGAGTAGCGAGTGTGAGCCTGGAAGGCCTGAATTTAGCGCGAGTCCACCCAGGGACCTCCATCACTGCCTCCGTTACAGCTTCTTCACTGGCCAGCTCATCGCCCCCCAGTGGACATTCAACGCCAAAGCTCACACCGCGAAGTCCTGCCAGGGAAATGGATCGGATGGGAGTCATGACACTGGTATGCTGATACGTCCAGAGACCCTTTGCTGCCACTAGGATTCATGACACATTAGTTGATACTGATTGGGTGTTTCCTCTAGTCTAAGGGCTTTCTGTGTATTTTATTATTTCTTCTTTTTACAACAACCTATGTGGTAGGTACAGTTATTAATCCCATTATGAGATGAGGATATGTAGTCTACATAGGTGTAACTTTCCCTAGGTTATATAATAAGTAAATGGAAGAGGTTAATTGAAAGGAAAATAGGTAAAATAATAGTTGATGCACCGTAAAATCCAGCACAAACGTAACAAATGGAGGATAAATTAATCATACTACAGAAAAATCTGAAATGTATATTGTGTTTCTGGTAAGAAGGTTGTGAAGGATCTATAAAAGTTCACAGTGGCTGTGTGTGTGTGTGTGTGTGTGTGTGTGTGTGTGTGTGTGTAATATATTGCCAAGATGTTTAATTCACTTTCTAATGACATTTTAAAATAAATATGTTGCAATCATTTGTGATGTGGCTAGTGAATTATATAGATAAAACCTACCTTAAAAATAATTGACTTTTAAGTTTTTATTTTACCTTGATGAAATTTCTGTTATGCATATAAATGTAGGTATCTTTTTCTTTGATTATGCAATTGAGAACTTAAAGAGAAAACTATTTATATGGTGAGGCAATATTGCCCACAGCAAACTTTGTAGTTATGGGCCTTCCATGCAATAAAATCTATATAAGAGAAATGGTGAATTTTTTTAAAAAAAGGAAACATTTATCTCTTTAAGACATTAAGCTAGTGAGTCCTCTAGTCTCTGCTGACTTCCATACTTAATATTAAAAATAGAAGCACAGACAATAGCCACTCAGAAAAAAGAACAACTAATCAGAACCAACTCCAACCAGATACAGAGCAAACTTTTAGCAAATGTACTAAGATATACTAAGGCAATAACAGAGCTACATTATGATCTACTTATTTTAGAAATCTAGACATCCCTCTGATTTTATTAACTAAAATGACATTGTCTCTGGCTTAGTTTCTGCCTGTTTAGCACATGCTACATATTGATGACCTACTTGTTAACTACAGCTAAGTAAGAATCTTGGTCCATAGAGAATAATTTATTCAGCATTCAAGGCAAGGAAACTGGTTATTTCTGTACTACTATTATTTACTTACATTTTTACAACATAGTGTTTTGAATTTTTAAGTATTTTCATGAACACTAGCATTATAACCCTTGACAGTGTTATTATTTTTATAGTAATATGATAAAATATTTTTAATATTTAAATGTGGCATTTGTGGGACAAAGGTACCAGTGCTCTGAGGAATTTTCTTGAGTAGTCATTTATAAGTAAATCAGTGGTAAATGAACATTATCACATTATAATTTCAGTGCTTAAAATTACTTAGGACATTTTCTGAGAGTTAACAAGTATTTAAAATGTTGAATATCTGACCCAGATAAACAAGAAATGAAATCCAGAAAATCTTTATTACCTAATGAAACATTGTCATCAAATAACAATAGTGAAACAGATTTTCTTTCACATGTGTAAAGTAGTGGAGGAAAAATAATATTGTTGGGTATAATTTATATTTGAATATTCAAAGAAACATTAGAAATTTTAGGGACAGAAAATATAAATTGCAAAGACATTGTAATTGTTTGGGTTGTCTATGTTTATATGTTTTGCAATCATGTTTATTGTTTTGTTGCATTTATTTTTATTAGCGTATCTACTTTTACCTCACAACGAATACATAAGCATAAGTGACATGCTAGCAATATCTAATTAGAACACTGGATGGGGTAAACCTACCCATTTTCTAATAACAACTAAAATGTAAAGTATATGGAATAGTTTAAAAAATATATTTTATTTTCATAACAAAAAGCAATAAAGATATTAAGTGACTAAGGTTCATACGGAATCATAAAGAATTAGCCTTATAAAATATTCTGTAAAAGAGTGTTGACAAGAAAATAGCAGCTCCAGAAACATGTTATACTGAGGGCTGAGCTTGTGGTGCTTGGGAATGGGGGATGCGTTAGAGTCCAGGAAGATTGAGATCCCCCAGGAACAGCCCACCTGCCCAAAGGAGGCGCAAGGCTCTGCACAGCTGGGGCAAAAGGCAGTGTTTGTAAAGTCCATATATATGCACTGAATGTGTGTTTATGCACAATCTTTTCATGGCCATTTATATTTTACGGGGAGGATTTAGTTCCATTTTTATTTCTGGCTAGCTCGCTCTATTTGTGCTTTATGCTTCCTAGGGCCCGTGTCTCCTATCTGATGCCTGTGCACAGGTGACATGCCCCACCCATGCCACCCAGGAAGTTCCCTCTCTAAAGTGACTCCCAAGAGGAGTGCTCTTATAATGATTGTAACAAGTAAATGTAAACACACTTATCTAGGAAAAAATGGAATAAAAAAACAAAGTCAAATTATAGATACTATTTAAATTTGTAACATGGTTAAGTGATCATCATTAACTAGTTGTGTTTTATGTTACATTTTATTGCTGCCAATCACAGCCAAGTGATCTAAGGAAACACCGGAGAAAGGTACTGTAAATACCTTTTATCTGACTATGAGTTAAATATTGTGTGTTTTTTTCCTATGAGAGCTTTAAAATTATATTCCCTGTAGTTTAAATACTGTAGTAACATAAAAAAGAAATATCAAAAGTATTTAAGCAATATTGAATTCTTTAAATATGACCATAAGAGCAAATGTTTTAAAACAAAAAATTTTCTTTCATGCTTTTTTGGGTCAATGATTAGATTATAGGGACTAAGTATCCTGATTTTCTACAGAAGATTTAGAGCACTGCTGGCACAAAAATTATCTAGTTTACTATCTCTACTAGAACAACAGTAAATGTAGGTTTCACTATTATTCGGGTATAGTGAGGCCAACAGGTCAGGAGGCAACTGCAATGAAAAGATAACTTGTTAAATTTCCCAAGAGGATGGGCTCACCTAGGGATGTAGGGCCACAGGGAAGCCAGTGTAGTCAGGAGACAGAGAGAGTGGGAAAAAGCATGGGCAGGAGGCTTTATTCTGGTTTCTGTGGGAAAAACAAGGCGAGGTAAGGCAAGTAGGGTTAGGATTGGCTGTTTTGAATAATTTTGGTGGGCTCTAGGGAGGGGGGCTGTCTCTAGTTGTGTAATGCCTAACCTGGATGATTACAGCTGAGGAATATTGCTTCCTGGAGTGTAAGAGCAGGAAGATAAGATGGTAAGGGATCCAGATCTGGATTGATTGATTTTCATGTGGAAGGCCCACATGAAAGGGGAAGTGGTTTGCTATCTCTAGGATTTAGCTGGCCCTGGGAGAGGCAGTCTCTCCTGGCTCAGGATGGCCCCAGGCGCCAAGCATCAAGAATATAGAAAATATGCAAATATAGTTAATACACTGCTTTCCTGTTCAGAATGAAATCAAGAGCATAAATATTGAATTAGGCAATAAAGTTATATTTTGACAACATGTGTTCTCACTTCAAAAATCCCCCACTGAATAGATGTCCATGTTATGCTAACCTGACTATGCATTTTTAGTAAATTTGCTCTAATTTTAGTAAATTATTTATATTCTGGTATATTAAAATAGATTCCAAAATAGCTTTTTCATAGGCCCTGTGTTATCGACGGGGTGCCCTCTGTGTCCCCACCTGTTGTTGCCAGTGGAAATGGAATTCTCTCAATGTCAAAAGGAAAGGAATTTCCTGAGACTTGCACGGAGGATGAGTGACGTTTATTTCTGTGGAATTAAAGCATCTAGGTTTCCAAGGTTCCATTTTTCTCTCTTGCCATGGAAAAAGTCCAATCTTGTTCTCAATGGGGCTAGGATTAAAGCCACGGCCCAGAGTTTCTGCTCCATATTAAAGCACAGACCAGTCCGGGATCTGGCTAACTTAGCTTGTGTTCCCAGCTGCATTCCATTGCATGTGGGGTCCACATGGCCATGGGCCATGTTGCTGCTTAAGGACACATGGCAGGCTAGCACACCGGTGAGTGTGGGTCACCTAGCAAGAGAGCTCAAGAGCTGGCAAGAGGACAACAGAGAGAGGATTATAACTGGGAGCTTAGCCAATTAACCCTTCAGAATGTCGTGTGCTTGCAGTGCCTCCACCTCCTAGCCAACTATTTTTCTCAGGTTAGATGGGCAGGCAAGCTATGTCACACTGACTTCACTGCACAAGCACCCATCTCCCCCTTTGTTGGGTCCCTTCCTCCAGTGAACTACAGGGAATGGACAGGTGGTCCCCTGGGGAGTGTGAAGTTGCAGCTTCCTGGTGAAGCTTCCCAGGTGATCATGCTTATACTGTTTGGCCTCCCCTTTGCTCCTTTCCTATTATTAATATTGACTAGTTAATTGTGACTATAACACCTGCATATTGATCTTTGATATTTATTTACTGTTAAATATTTTTGTAGCAGGTCCATATTTACTTTAACTGGAGTGTCTACTACACTTTTAAAGAGTTATTACATTAACACTCTTTAATAATGTGAATTTATATATGTAAAACCTATATGCCCCAGGTTTTTTGGATTGTTTTTATGTTAGATTTCCTCAGATAGCCTTGCCTTGATGATTTCCCATTTCTATTCGTTTCAGTTGAAATTTAAAAAGAGTTCATCTGAATATATTGTTTTTACTTGTAGATTGCAGTGGTGGAAGAAGATGGTCGGGAGGATAAAGCAACAATTAAATGTGAAACTTCCCCTCCCCCGACCCCTAGGACCATCAGGATGACTCACACCCTCCCTTCTTCCTACCACAATGAGGCCAGAAGGTATGATGCTCCCAGTACAGGACGCAGTGCCCATGCTCCTCCTGAAAATATTCCTCTTCCTTTCAGTGTGGTCAAATAGACTGCTTAAAATTTTATATAACATATTTTATTTCAACTTGTGAAATAAATAGAAACAATATCACAATTTTCACAATATTTTTGAAAAGAACAAATTTTCATTCTGAGATCAAATTTTTAGTTTTAAAATTGACTTTACATTTGTGGTCCTGTTATTAGCCAATACTTATAAGAATAGCTCTTCTCTCTCAAATGTGGGATATAAAACTGAAACTAGTGAACACAAACAGCAGTGTGGTGGTTGCCAGAGGGAAGGGGATGTGGGGAGAAGGGGGTCCTAATATATGGTGACAGGAGAAGATTTGACTTTGGGTTGTGGGCACACAGATCTTGTAACATAGAAACCCACACCTGAAACTTATATGATCATGTTGACAAATGTCACCCCAATAAATTTAATAGAAGAAAAAAAAGAAAAGCTCTTCTATGTTTTGTGTATATTTTCTTTTGAAATAGAATCAGGCTAGATGAAGAACTTAATAGGAATAGTAACAAAAACTACAGGGATTCTAGGATGTAGGGCCAGAAAACTTTCTACCTCTTTCCTTATAGATTTTTGACTGCTCTAAATTAAATTGACATTAGACAGATTAACAGGAAAAAACAACATATTTCACTCATATGGGAGCCCCATAAAACTAGGAAATTCCCTGGCAGTCGGTCTTATATTGAGGCTTACATACTATCCTGAGCTAAGAAGGAGGGGTTAAGGGTCTGGAGCTTCAAAAGGGAGGAAGACAATTCATAGAAAATGAGATCTTATGTTTGGTAAGTAAACATTTGCAATGCTATGCAGATAAGTCCTTCTGATATAAAAAGTTTTCTTTTTTAATAGCTCTCTTCCTGGTCCAGGCCCCTGACCTAACTTCTTTGGGGTAGTTAAGGGGGAGGTATAAGCTTCTCTTGGGAATGTTGGACTCTGGCTGTCTTCACCTTTAAGTAATCCCCAGGCCAAAGTGGTACATCCCAACGTGGCATATTCTGCTCCCATCAAAGACAGGACTATACATTTGGCTTGGAGTGTAAGAGTAATTAAGGTCTGAAAAGTCCATGATGGTGCCCCATTTCCCTTTAGCAGACGAGGCACACCACCTTTTGGGTGCTGCTGCTACTCAGGCAGAAAGTTCTTAGAAAGGAACACACACACACACACACACACATTTACAAAATATTTAAGGAAAAAATAGGGTAATATCAGGAAATATACCACCTGTCATAATGACATTTCATATTGTCCTTTCCATCTACCTAAAAAATTAGAAGATCTATATAATAATTAATGACATAAATAAATCTAAGCATGCAACTTAATCTTAACTGTGTGTCCTTTTTCTGTCATCAATTGCAGCATATCTAGATACATAATTGATATAACTGAACATAACAATGATTAATACTTGAAGTAAGAATTTGCCTTCTAAATACTATGGGTTTTACAACAAATATTTTTGAAAACAGAGCTTTTTGTTCTGGTAAGCACTATTTCTGCTGTGCTTATTTTTAATTTCTAATGCTTCAAAATAGATACTTCCTTCACTATCCAAAAAAAAAAAAATGAATTATATTGTCACATAAGAAAAGCAGTAGTTTTTGAGTTTAGGGATTGTGGACCCAAATTAATTAAAATGAGTAAGTAATGTTAAATAATTTATTGTGTCATTGTCAATTGAATAGCTTTGGAAAAAGAATGAGGGCAATATCTATTGAACCTCTCCTGTATTAATAGGAGTGGTTCTCTCCTATTAATTCACTCTATTAATACAGTGTCAAGTACACTGACCAGGAATGGAACCTAGACCAACTGCTTGAAAGTCATTTCAGTTTATCATGTAATCAAAGAATACCTTAGGATTACAAGAAAAAGTATACAATGATCACTAGTGTATATGATTTGTTACTTCTGAATCCCAACCAGATGATTTTAAATTGAGTGAACTGTGTTCCAAAACTGAGAGAAAGAATGCTAGATGAAAATCCAATGAAACCATCCACCAGACTTCATTATTGGTTTTATTTAAATTTCTTATCATAGGTTTTAGGTTTAAGATTTTAAAAGCACTCAGGGAAAAAAATAGGTAAAGAGTCAAGTGCTAAATAATAAAAGGTCATTTAACATGTAGTTAATAAAGCTACCTATGTTTACTGATTAGCTTGAGGTTGTACAAAAAATAAGGGAGAAGATCATTTGGAACAAAAATAAATTTTTTAGAGAAAATTTGGAGGCTCAGGACCCTAAGGATGTGAAACCATACTTCAGTTTGACTAAGAGGAAAGGTGAGCAGAAAGGGAGAAAACTTCAGAAGCCTGCCTGTTTCTCCTTTCATACCTTTATAAAGGAAGCAAGTCTTTTGTACGTACCTTGTGGATGTTGCATTAAAATGAGCACTTGCCCTCCTTTGTGGTTTGCAGTAGTTTGGCTGCCTCCCTGGAGCCAGACAGCTTTGGGCTTGGCAGTGCCAACAGCAGCCAAGACTCTCTTCACAAGGCCCCCAAGAAGAAGGGAATCAAGTCTTCGATAGGACGTTTGTTTGGTAAAAAAGAAAAAGCTCGGCTTGGGCAGCTCCGTAAGTATGCGTGTTTGACTTTCCACTGCTACTCTCTTCAGTCACTTCTGAGTGTCCATCTGTTTTTTTTATTTCATTTTATTTCTCAGTTTTCTCTTTTTTTTCTTTTTCCTACCAATGAAAATGGAAGATAAGAAAGGATGGCACAGAAAGCAATGTGGTTGAGGAATGATAATGTCCAAGAACCAAGTCAAAATTTTGAATCATGTCCTAAGATTTGGAGCTGTTAGTTGAAGAGTTTATCTCATAGGGAAGAGAAATACAAATTAAGCTGAGAGTAGTTATGCTAGATGGTATGGAGGAATAAAATTGTCAAAATAAAACTATGAAAATGTTCACTTGGTTCCATCAGGAATAATAAATGACAAGGAAGGAATTCTTAGTAATTCATAGAGAAGAATATTTGTAAAGGGGTGCTATTTGCCTTAAATAACAATTTGAAAATCTAGGTTAATAAGGGAAACTTCAGATGTGGTAGATTAGTCAATGTGACTACACTGATAGCCCCTAACCATGAAGGGACACATTTAGTATACTACATATAATGTATGTTTACAGATGTATGGCTAGCAAAGGCAATATGTACATGGAAACCCCCCATACATACAAATATACAGCCTTTCCTTTAAAACAAAACAAAACTATTCAGCATGTTCCTGGCCCAGGAATGTTTGCCTGCTATGTCCTATGTTTGTCCTATCCAAACAGCTATAAACAGGGGTTCTGAAACCCAAGATCCTTGAGTATGCATCAGTAATTAGAACCCTGACTGGCTTGATTTTTAATTTTATCAGAAAGCATTAACCTATTTTGAAACAAAACAAGTTAAGCTGTGTTAAAAATAGCCATGTCAAACAAAGCTTGTTTGTTTCATTGACAAAGTTGTTCTGTAACAGAACAGGAAAGGTAGTGGACAAGATGTCAAAACGGGGTGTGGATGATGGAAAAATTATGTGGCAGTTATAATTGGTTAAGTAACACTGCTGTAATAGTGCCAATCAATAGAGTGTTGCCACCTAGCTCAAGGTTTCTCATGGCTTGGTTATGACTCTTTACTCTTCTGGTTCAGCACATCCCCTAATTGCTTAGCCATAACATTTCAACAACACAGACATCTGATTTATGGATTACTAATATGGTTATGAATCACAAATTTTAAGAAATAGACTTATTCCTAAGCAATGTCTAAAATGTAAAATATGGAAGCTCATAAATATTCGATTCTAAACATTTTTCTAAGAAAAATTCAGAGATTTTATGTGACTCTAAAGTCAATATATTAGTCAATAAAGGTAGGCCACATTGATTGACATAGCATTGGGACAAAAGAAGACTTTTCTATTCTACTCCACTGTGGTAAGATAACAGCCAAAGAATAGTATTCATTTCTGTTTACTACACTTTTAGAGGCATAGCATAACCTTAGAGCAGTGGTCGGCAAACTCATTAGTCAACAGAGCCAAATATCAACAGTACAACGATTGAAATTTCTTTTGAGAGCCAATTTTTTTAAATTTAAACTATATAGGTAGGTTCATTGTTATTAACTTAATTAGGGTACTCCTAAGCTGGCCTTTGCTAAAAACGTCCGACTGACACCCCCCACTTCTTCTAATGCCACTTCTTCAAAATAGACTCGCCCAGGACGAAAACCGACTTCTGTGCATGGGCCACGAAGTTTCAATCGCACTGTATGTGCGCGCCCGCATGTGGTATTTTGTGGAAGAGCCACACTCAAGGGGCCAAAGAGCCGCATGTGGCTCGCGAGCCGCGGTTTGCTGACCACTGCCTTAGAGGAAGGTTAGGGGGGAGTATTTAATCTCATGTACAGGATTGAACTTGTGAGAAATAGACACATAGATGGGTGTGTTTATTCTTCTTGCTGGCCCAAAGGTATGGCTGATTGCAAATATTTGAAGAGCTCTTATGTGGAAGAGCTGTTGGCTTTTTCATTGTTAAATGATGGTACAAAGCTAGAACTAAAGTGTTAATCAAAGATTATCTTCATCTCAATGTAAGAAAGAAGTGTCAGAATTATATCCAAAGAGCTGGCTTTTGAGGTAAGGGCTTCTTCATTACTGAAAACTAGGTAAAGTATAAAGCAAAAGCTGGGTAAATACTAGGAAAATGTGTTGTCGAGGGGATAGAAGCATTGGAAAGATAGTTGGACTGGATGACTTCTAAAATCTACTTCAAATCTAGTAATACTGAATCTATGACACTCTAACATTTAAGCCAATGTCAAACAACATTTTTTTAATAAAATATATACGATCAATTGTTTACTATAAAATGCATGTGTATTTTTAAAATTATAGACTTCAGAGTTAGACAATATCTAAGATCATGTAGTGGTCCACATTCTATAGTATGTAAAAACAGACGAGTTTAATAATGGTTAAGGGTATCAGTTCCCAGCTCTCACTACCTGGTCTAGTGCTCCAGACAATATACTCTTGGAACTGTTTTAATAAAAAATACCTCATTGATCTCCTAGTCCCGTGGAACAAGTTTGGCAACTTAATGAAATTAAAAACATGACTATTTCATAAAGTTTATAACTTTTTGAGGATATTGCACATAAGTGCATAAAAATTAAAAAGTAATTCAAGGTAACAGTAAGAAAGACATCATAGAATACAGTATAAATTTTTGTTATTAAAGATACAGACATAATGTAAGAAAGGAGTTCAGATTATCAATTTTCTCTCCCTAGATACATTTGATTCTACTAGGAAAATCTGAGTGAAATTTTTCTACGGAATTGAAAAGGTGTACGGCTAGAGTTTCAAATAGAACTGATGCCTGAGAAAGGGTACTGAAGTGACATGAAAGAAAAAAACTCTAAGGGGAGTGTGCTAGAAAAGAACTTGAGTCTTTTCTGTGGTTAGTCAGGAAGTGGGTTATTGGTTGGGGTCAGGAATGGGAAACCAAATTATCAAGCAAAGGAAATGGCTGGGCTAAAGATAAAGTTACTTAACTGTGGAGAGATTGGAAATGCAGAGCTCAGAAGACAACTACTTGAAGGAGAGCCACGCACACAAATTAAATGATCTAAATTCCAGGGTCAAGTATCGAAGCAGAGGCTAGGGGTTAGAGCAATCAAGTGCTTTGCTAAGTTAACTTTGAGGCAGTTAACTTAAAGCTTATGAAAATGGTGATACCATGTGAAGACAAGGTAGAGTGTTAAAGCATTTATTACTTCTGGGGGAATCATCTGCTCCATAGGATCTTAACATTCATTGGTTTACTACCTGGGAAACACAGTTCTCCCAGGTCTGCAGAGAGCACAAATAATAATGACTACAAAGAAAAAAAGAACCGAACACACATGACCAGCCTAGCTGACGTTAACAGTGAACAGTGAGGATAAAGACAAGAGGCCATTGACAGACATTGCAAGAGAAGGAACCATAATCAAGAACAAAAAGATCTTCAAGAATGGAGAACTGCCCTAACCGGTATGGCTCAGTGGATAGAGCGTCCGCCTGCGGACTGAAAGGTCCCAGGTTTGATTCCGGTCAAGGGCATGTACCTTGGTTGCGGGCACATTCCCAGTAGGGGGTGTGCAGGAGGCAGCTGATCGATGTTTCTCTCTCATCGATGTTTCTAACTCTCTATCCCTCTTCCTTCCTCTCTGTAAAAAAATCAATAAAATATATTTAAAAAAAAAAAAGAATGGAGAATTGGATAAGTAGAACCCAATATAGCAAAGCTGAGAAAAATGAGTAAAAAGAACACTGTCCCTCAGGGGAGCACAACCATGCCTTTCCCTTCCCTCTCTCCCTCCCCCAGGCTCCTTGCCTTTGCCTTTGTGTCTCCTACGCTCCAGAGGCCTTTCTTTGGCTTCTGTAACTTGATTCCTGAGCCTGCTGGCTCACTTCTAAGATCTCTGTAATTTTCTAAATAAACTTTCTTTTATAATCTATACTAATAAAAGGGTAATATGCTAATTAGTAATATGCTAATATGTCTTCCGGACAACCATCTGGATGTCCTTCCTGACAAATCCATGCCCAGGCAAAGCCGCCTGCCAGCAGTCTCTGGGGTGCCAGTGGCTGCTGCTGTGGCCCGGGAGAGGGAGAAGCCTCCCATCCATGGTCTCCTGAGGCTGTGGCCGGCCCAGGCGAAGCCGGCCGGGGTCCCAGGTGCCTGTGGCTAGCTGGAGGAGGGAATCTTGGGTCCCAGGTGTGGGGCCAAGGCAAAGGTGGTTAGGGGTGATCAGGCAGGCAGGGAAGCAGTAAGGGGTGATCAGGCAGGCAGGCAGAGGTGGTTAGAGGTGATCAGGCAGGCAGGCAAGTGAGCAGTTAGGACCCAGCAGTCCCAGATTGCGAGAGGCATGCCCAACTGCCAGTTTAGGCTGGATCCAGGGATTGGGCCTAAACCTGAGTTGGACATCCCCCATGGGGTCCTGGGTTAGTGAGGGTGCAGGCTGGGCTGAGGGACTCCCCTCTTGTGCATGAATTTTGTGCACAAGGCCTCTAGTTTGAAAATAAAAGAGGAAAATATATTAATTTTGAACAGGCAGAATCCCCAATTAAAGACATATAAAATGGATATATTATTGATTTTTTTAAACTACTTTTACAAATATCCTTTAAATGCATATGAAAAGTAATATATTTCAGAGGGATTTTGCCTACTAAATTGCATATCCCTTTCATTTATAACAATCTGCCAGATTGTATTAGAATTATCTGAACTCATTGACCTGCTATAATCAGCATAATAAAGAAAATGATGTCATCATGACAAAAACAGACTCAAGATTGCACCAGCATTATTTAGCAAGCACCTTTCTACACATAAAACTTGGGTGGCTGTGCTCGCCTTTTCCAAAAAATAAAAAATAAAAATTAGATTATTCCTAGATGCTGTGGAACCAACAGATATAATGTAAACTTCACAACATACCAGTTAGAGATGACTCATTCTCTGCATGGTGAAAGGGCCTTTTTTTTTTTTTTTTTTTTTTTTTAAGAAATCAGTATTTAGCTTCA